AACAATCGGGTTTAGGTTAGGTTAGTTTAGTGTTGACAAATGACAACCCCGTTGGGGTTTTGTCATGGAACCCTGGCATCCACTTTGGCGTGTTTTCCAACTTAAAAATAGTTAAGGTGTGAAAGACCTCCGGGAAAATCTTAACAATTTCGAATATTTTGATTGTCACCAGTTGATTTTTTCCCCTGGCCGAATTTAGAGTAAAGCACAGTATTAAGGCCGATTCACACGACCCGTTTCTGTTCCGTCGGCTTGGCGCCGTCAGAATGTTGTGTATTCACACGACACGTTCCCGGTCCGTCCGATACCGTCATTCAGTAGGGGACGAAGCTTTCCCTCTGAAACCCTACTTAATGAGACCATACCCAGGTACACAGATTGATTATACTCAGAAAAGAGTTTATAATTACAGACTTTCACGCGCTAGGAGGGTAGTTGAAAATGCCTTTGGCATTCTGAGCCAGAATTTTTTGATTTACCAAAGAACACTGAATTTAAATCCTGAAAATGCAGATGTCATTGTTTATGCTACTTGCCTTTTGCATACTTTTATTAGGGATGAAAACATTTCTGATCTTAAAGGCAATATGTCAACACACTCAAAATAACCTGATAAATTTACCGAGACTAGGCGGAACTGCTCATCAGACTGCATTTAATGTAAGGGAAAAATTCAAAGCATTTTTCAGTAGTCTTGCTGGAGTACTACCTTAGGAGTGATATATATATATATATATATATATATATATATATATATATATATATATATATATATATATATATATATATATATATATATATATATATATATATATATATATATATGCTGTAGTAAGGCAAGACAAAACATTTAAAGTGTAATAAACTTATTTCGCACTCACCTGGTTTGTTTATTGCCTTGCTAATCACTTTCCATATCTTATCTTTATGCAGATTATCACTGTACTGTACTTCTTGTTAGTCATGTCAAATAACTCTTCATACCCACGCCCAACTTCTATCAGCCTTTCGTCCATGATGCTAAACACTGTAATAAATACGTCATAAGGAGGCGGCAACTGCAGATGGTCGGGTACCGACAGCGCCGTTACTTTGTTGTGTACACGAGCCTTTATTGATGAATCCTGCGTAATTCAGTGTCCTTCATTTCTAACAGGATATCAACACATAGCTTTCTTTATTTTCATTGTGTAATTTGAAGGATACATGGCGTCATAAATATGTGCACTTACACTGTCAATATTTTTAATATACCTGTATTGGCTATATTGAAGTTGAATCAATGTAACTTGTTCGGCGATTTTACTGAATTAGTCTCTCTATCTAGCTATATTTGCATATGGAAAAATTGCATCCTGTCCTACACAGACAAACGTGGTAATATTTCGTGCTCAGACGTTGATGTCATAACCTATAATGTTCGTACGTTGCGCCTGCGTGCTAAGGCTACTACTACGAGGCTCCTAATTTTATCTCGTTTAGTTATTACAGACATTTACCACAGACGCTCACACACACTCTCCTTACTTTCTGTGTTAATATCATTCATAACTTGCTGTAGGGCATGCAAACACGCCGCTTTAATATCTGAGACGAGGTGATACATACATAAACACCATATTACTCTCTCTCATTTTCCAAGGTTACAAGGAAAGACTTGACAACAGACACAAGGAGCGTGTGTGCGAACGTTGCCCCATGAACTTACGTCGAGGTTGTTAAGAGCTGCCTGTCTCACAATTGAAGTGTTGCAAGTAATATGCAGTATAGGAGGAATGGCGTGGGAGTGTTCCTCTAAATTATATCTTGACTGCCATTGTATGCAGATGACATCACTGAAGCTAGCGGGTGATTGGGGAACACACTTGGTTATGAGGACGTCATTTATATTCACTTTCCAAGTTATCTCCCCCGGTGATAATAGAGCTTACACCAAGCCACATGCGTTCACATATCTAGCCACACCAAGCCTGACATCCTCCCACTTCCGAGGTTTGACAGCAAACATTTCAACGAGTCAGTTTAGTCGAATCTCAAGTCGATTTTGACGAGTCTCTAGTCTTCTTTGTTTTTGTTTTGTTTTTTGTTTTTTGTTTTTTATGTATCGCGGGTCAAGTCTCGAGTCGGTACAGATATACATAGGGAATGTCTAACTGTAAGTAAAGTACATTTAATCCTTGTGAGTTTGCCTCAAAAGGTTGCTTCACACGAGCATTTTTGTCCCGCGTGGATAATTTCTTAGTTTTCTAGAAGGCACGTGTTCATGCGGGCGTGTTTTTCACGCTTCAGTTCGCCTGCATGGCCTGCATCTGCTCATGATGGAGGACGTAAACAAGAGACTTATTTGTGTATATTTGATGAGCCTGAAGAAAAGACATCGCAAATGGTGGCTCCATCCAATAAGCCACTAGGCTATTATAAGGTGAATTTTACACATCATATATATTCACAATATAAGCTGTATCGGTATAATTTAATGTCCTTTAATACACTATATATATTTTATTTCTAAATGTCCAAAATTCATATTCAGTGTAATAATGCCATTATGTTTTAAGTAAAAGATGTCTTGTTTTATAGAACATTTGTATGAAAATTAAGGTCATACAAGATTCCACCAAAAAAACAGTGTAGAGTAGCGTCAAGCTATGAGGGCCTGCGACCTACGTGGAGGCCTAATCGACCGTGACCAATCGTAAGGTGCCCGTGACATGACGTCATGGGGCACTGTCAGTTGATTGGTTGAGACCCGAGCATCCCATACCCAACAACACGTGCACTCCCCCCTTTTTTTTTAATTCCGTTAAGGATTCTGAAACCATAGGAAAATAAAGTTCAGTCAACTCGGTGACATGCTGGCTCCATATTGTTACTCAGCTGATAAAAGAAGTTTGCTCTCGTATTGAATTGAATTAAATTGAAACAGTTTATTTAGCCAGAAAAACACAGATACAGAGTGGATAATAATAACAATATTAACATGGCTGAGCCAGTTGAGAGCCTGAGCTCTCTTTGAGGTACCTGATATATACTATACATTTATCTCAAGGAAGTATTATGTAACATTTAGTATCATCTGGTCTAGTACAATGGCATGTACAATAGCATGTAGAGGATGATAATGATGTAAAACTGGTGTAAAGCTGTAGCTACTACCGTCGCTCTAACTGAAGAACCGATAGGAGTATATCCTCTTAAGTGGACAAATAATTATCTTTCCGCAAAATAATCAATGTCTTGATTTGAAAAATTATCCCTAGATATCAAATGTTGGATGTCAATAACTAACAGACTTTTAAGCCTATATATCGCAGGTATGTAGACCATTAATAATTGGGCTCCATATCTCACGTGTATTAAACAATCCCTTACGTTTTATATGGTACCCTGTTTACCTAACACGGAAATTGTGTTTGCATTTGCGTAATAATACGAGTAGTATAGACGAAGGAACAAAAGTTAGCTCATAACAGCGAAATTTGTGTCTGCTAACAATACTTGTCATTTAATTGGTCTAGTTAACTTATACAATATAGTAAGATAAGCAGTGCGATTGACAGGAGCGAATTCGGGTTATCCGTTAATTCTCGACCGCGTAAGACCCTTGTAGGAAGATGAAAAGATTATAAAGTGAACCACACGTTCACCCGCTGTCCCACTTCATACCTTACAGTCGTCCACACTTGATTCACCCCATTCCTGACTCTTGTCCCACATATGACTCGCCCCATTCATGACTCGCCCCCACATGACTCGCCCCCACATGACTCGCCCCCACATGACTCGCCCCATTCCTGACTCTTGTCCCACATATGACTCGCCCCATTCATGACTCGCCCCATTCATGACTCGCCCCCACATGACTCGCCCCATTCCTGACTCTTGTCCCACATATGACTCGCCCCATTCCTGACTCTTGTCCCACATATGACTCACACCATTCCCGACTCTTGCCCCACATCTGACTCACACCATTCTTGACTCTTGTCCCATCTGACTCACCATTCTTGACTCTTGTCCCACATCTGACTCACCCCACACCTGACTTGCCCTACTCCTGACGCTTCCTCCACTCTCTTGCACATTGTACAAGGTCTACTGTGGAACATTATACAAATATTACTATGACACACATCACTAACTTTGAAACATTGTACAGTGCTGTACTACTATGGAACCTTGTACATTTATAAACACTTGTGGAACAAAGTATCTGCAATAGTCTACAGACACTATTTTGGATCATTAATCATCATTGTGTCACATTATCACATAAACAACAAAACATATGCAGGGTCTCAATTGTTTCTCTTAATTTTGACAACACAACATACATACTGTACAGTACAGTATATTATTTCTCACTTTTGATCTTTTTTTCATTTTTGTTTTCATTATGGTCTTTATTATTATTATTACTGTATTATTAGTATTATTATTACTACAGTGTTATTATTATTATTATTATTATCATCATCATCATCATTATTATTATTTTAAATTTTGTATTTTGTATTATAAATTTTATTTACGATGAATTATTATTACATTTTCGCCCTCCAGGTCCCAATGTGAGTCAGTGACCTGTGCCCGGGTGGGCTAATCCTCAAAAAAAAAAAAAAAATCACTCGAGTATGACCCAGGATCAGCTTTCATTTTTATTTGGCACATGGTCTTGTACTCTCGGTAAAAAAGTATCTTTACAATTCTTGTGCGAAACAAAATGACACTACGAATGAAGGTTTTTGATAAAAACTCATGAGGCATACTGTTTTTCACCATTCGTAATGCAACGAACTAATTTTATATTTTGAATGAAATTTAACTAAATTAGGCCTACCATAATAGGTAGGAAATGTCTCGCAGTCACGCCTACCAACCCTAGCGAGACAACAGGTTTGTTCAGTTCCAAATTCATCAGACCCCTACAGAAAGATACTTTTTACTGACTGCACATATCAAAAGTCCATTAATATAATATTTTTGTTTTCTTTCCCCAGGACTAATAGGATTGGAATACGTGCTTCATAGGATTGGATGAAATACCCGTCATAGGATCAGAAGACGTGCTTCATAAGATTGGAAGACACACCTTATCGGATTGAAAGATACTTTTTAGGGTTTCAAGACACATTCTTATAGGATTAGAAGACCCAACTTAGGATTGGAAGTTAAGTCATCTAGGACTGAAAGCCACACTTCAGGCATAGTAGAAAATCTCACCCAGTTGGACTGGAGGCAGGATGGTGGGAGTGGAGAAAGATGAGCACATTATCCGGTGTTTGTGGGACAATATTGGTGAGGTGCCAAAGGAGCCTATGGTGCAGTACATCTTGGAAAGGATGAAAAAATATCAGGACAGGACTGCCTTCGTAAGTATTTTATAGCATTGGAATAATATAATTTCTCAAGATATATCATTATAGATACAGACTGAAGTACTGTACAGTATAGTATAGAATACTGATACTTGTACTGTGCAATAATTCCAAATCCTGCATTCTTCTTAAATTGTATTATGGCAAGACTATTGCATTTGTATTCACCATGACTCATGAAAAGCTATACTTTTTTGCATATTTTTTAAATGCACCTATACCAATACAGTATTATAGTCAAGTCATGCAATGCTTTGGAAATTTTATAATAACAAAAAATACTTTTAAAAATGCTCAAATTATTTTTATTTTATTTTATTTCAGGTTGATGGAATAACGGGCGAGAAACTGAAATATAGTGAGGTGCTTTCCTCCGTTTATGGTCTGAGCTATGGATGGCAGGAAGCTGGACTTGAAGCAGGTCATGTGGTGTGTGTGGTGTCACCCAACACCATCCACATCCCTGAAGTCTTCCTTGCTGTTACAGCATCCTCAGCTGTTGTGACCCTGGCTAATCCTCTCTATACCCCAGGTTGAAATTTAATTTTATTTTTAATTTTTTTTTCTCTGCTGCACTGTTTTAATTGTAAAAAATGATATTTAACTGAAACTGAGGAGGCCTAATATACATTTGGTTAAAGTGATTATTATTTCTTTTTTGATCACTTACACGAGATTAGAGGTTAGTCAAATATGCTGAGGTCAGAGGTACTGTTTGAGGCTAGTATCTGCATTCATATCCTTAATTTCGTTTCATAACATGACTCTATTTTCATATAGTTAAGTTGTTGTTCCAACATGTCTTACCTTATCTATAAAAAGGAGTTACAGTACAAGATATTATAGGATTTAGTTAATGATTATGGCATTGTCACTGATATTTTTAATTCTCCAAGAGCCACCAAAATTATTTGTATGTTCCTGTGTGGACTTTTCTTCATAAATATAAAGAATTTCAAATACGTACCAGGGTTTAGAGCCAGTGTATCAGTTTTTTACTTTTTCATACTTCATTATATACTGTATGTCCATCTCCAGCCCGACACTACAGGGGGTCCTCATTGTACTTTCTACCGTTATACATCACTAACAAATATAGGAAGAGATTTTCATGATATGCCATTTGTTTCACATATAGTTCATCTATATTATTTACTGTTTTATACCAAGTCTATGTGTATCCGAATATGATACATAAATTGTGTTCAAAACCTCTAATTTAAGATATAAATGACCACAATACAGTACTGTAATTGCTATAAGTGCCCTACAAATGTTAAGGGGATTGTCTGGATGAAAATTGGAAAATTATGAAAATATTCAGAAAAATTCATGGGGAAAGCTGTTGCCTATGGCTGTATGCTGAAATAATTTTATTGCGTAATATGTAATATTTATGTAGCTATGCATAATTGTTCTACCCCCCCCCCCCCTTTTCATTTAGAGGGCATTTCTGTTTACATGGGGAAACTGTAGAAAAGTGTTTATAATAATATTTTGGTGTAAAGTAATACCAATGACTTGGTAAAAATCAGTATCTGGCACCTTTCTCAGCAAGCTAACCACGGGAGACTGTCATCACTAGAGTCAGTGACCCATCAAACATGCAACCCCAAAAATTATATAATGGAACTTATGGGAGGAAGTCTGTATCCTCGAATTTGTGTAAACCGAGCGTTCTGTACCCCGGGGAGTGTCTGTATTAATTATTATTTTTCTCACCAGGTGAACTTCGCAGGTTGCTCACTCACAGCCAGTCTAAATGGATTGTTGTGCATCCCCTTATTCTTTCTACTGTTCAGGAAGCTGTAAAGGATATAGATCATATAAAAGTTAGTAACATTTGTTCCTATGACATAGTTTACGTGGAGTGATGCTTTAAGTTTGTTTTACATGATTTTAGTTGTTACACATTGTTTAAATATACTTTTGGTTAGGTAAAAAATCATGGTTCAGTACAGTACATGTATAAGAATGTTATAGAAGATGCACTTTATAATTCTATATACAGTAAGTGCAAGACTTTCATGGTAGAAGTAAAGGAAAGCTGAGTCGTGGATTATGCTTACGGTAGTTAAGTGATTGATAAAAAAATTTCTGAATATCTGTTCTTGTACAGTCTCGTTCAAGATTCTTCGAACACTGCTGGAGACAGCTGACAACTCTAGGCCATTTGTTTACTGTAGTACGTAGTATAATATGATACAAAACAACAAAGCCCAACCATTAATTAACCAATGGGGAACTAAGTAACCAATCACTGATAACCTTTTACAGTCATTCATAATTTTTACTACGTACTATAGTAAACAAACAGCCTTGAATTGCCAGCAGTGTTCAAAGAATCTTGGACAAGACTGTACCTTGTTAGCAGTTTAGATCAACAGTGAGATAAGATATATTGTATATATTGTGTTGTCAAAGAAAGAAACAATTGAGACCCTGCAATTGTGTGTAATTGAGGCACAAAATCAGATCAACCTGGGACTTAGTCACAATTTTCGTGATGCCATATGGCAGCAGGGTCTACCATTAGACAGCATATTATGATTCCAATATCTTCCCAGGCGGTAGTACCTCCCTGTTTGGTAGCAACCTACTACTGGTACATGATATGAAGCAAATACTATTTCATATCAGTTCAGTGAGGCTGATTCAACAATACCGGTACATAAATTTATGTTGGATTGAATTAAGGGTAATTCATTTAGGCTGACTTAGAGTTATTAAATCTGCAGTGGATTTTAGTCAAGGCTGTACTGAATAGCACTCACCATGAACACAGAAAATTGGTTCAAAGAACACAAACAAAGCATGAAGTTAAAACATGTGGTACATGAAGCATGACAATACAGTCTTCTTGTATTAAGAGTTGTGCAGCGATTGATGTTGCTCTGATTACATCTCGCATGGATGATTCCCACTTAGCCAATTCTTGGTTATATGTGATTTAACCTAACCTTTGTTAAATTGTCCAAGTGGGATAGCAAAAATTGCATAGAACAGATGATTGTCTAGATGGGAGTGGTGCAGGTGGTATGGTACCAATGCTCTTGCTTCTTGGGTGGTTACTGGCAGTTTCTCAGTTTCTAAGTTGATCTTTTTCTCATGCTTTTGCTGGCTGAAGCATCGCCAAAAGACTGCATGGAGCATTTGGGAGAAATTAAAAGATACAAAGAACTAGTACAGTACAGTACACAAAAGACATAAAGACAGCCTACATGTTATAACACATGGAGCATGAAGCTTATTGATGATGTAGTGAGAGGAACACACTTAAGATAAGGGTGTTGTATTTGAATAAGCAGAGAAAAATGCCCTTGGGGGTGCACTATGATTTAATTGGGACTAAATATTCATCATAAGATTTCTTTTAGAGTCTAGAACACTTAAACTGTATGGCATTGAGAATTAAATAAGGCATTTTATTCTTTTATAATTTAGGTGCACAGTTACTCTGTTAGCAGTTGATCTCTTCCAACCCTTCCTCAATACTTTAGAACCTCACAGATTACTCAACAATGAGATGCAAGCCATCGGTGAAAAGAATCCATTTTATGACTAAGAGGAAAAAACATGTTACCTATAGTTTGTTCACTGAGGCCTGGTGTCAGTTTGTAACAACAAGGGCGGATCCAAGGGAGTTTCCCGAGGGGTCTGCCGCCCCCTCCCCATTTTCACCAGAAAATTCCAATATTTTTTTATTTAATGCAGTATTGTACTCAGGTGTTTTTGTATAGAAAAAAAAAGTGATTACTATGAACTTCAGAATACCTCCTAATATCATGTGCACATGGCTTCCAAATGCTGATGATATTGGTCAGATTTAAACAAATATTCTGAGGGGGGCTTACAGCACCCACCCAAAATCTCCCAGCTGGGTGGTCTTGCTGTACTCGCCATGTACCCCCACCCACAACTTCTTGGACCCCCCAATTTTGTATTCCTGGATCTGCCCCTGAGCAAGTCAGCTGATTGGTTGGTGGACGGACACCTGAAAAATCACTACAGTTCTTCAGGAAGCAAAACTTGACATGTAAAATGCTCTCGTAAGAAAACTATCATAAAGAGAACATGAACATGATAAACAAATTTGGGGACTTAAACTCGTCCTTGCCACCTGACATCATAAAACATGGTGGATTATGTCATTAGATTTTTGTACATTTCAGATACTCATTTTTGCTTCTCAAAGTGTAGAAATTATCAGAGATCACCATCAAAAGGTTATTGTCCCTTAAAATATCCTTATATAAATATGATAAATACTGAAGAACTGCAGTGATTATTCGGGTGTCTGTCCATGCTACAAACTGATCCTAAGTCTCAGTTGCCAGCTTTAAGCGAACAGACTATAGTTTCCCTTCCATCTTCTTTGGTGTGCTTAGAAATCAGCAAAACTGAGAGGATAAGAGAAGGAAATCGCCCTTTTACTGAATAGATGTGATCCAGAGCTAGAATCCTCTCTGGATTCTGAGTCAATGACTGGGTCTTATATGACTTTCAACCATCTGGGTGAGAAATGAGGTTTTCAAATGGAAGGTTTATCTGACATTTTCACCTGGATAGCATATCTTGCTGTTAAATTATGGATAGACTTGCTTGGGTGTGTTTTCATTCTTCCCTTCTGCTATTGAATGGGATATCCTGTGTCAATCTTTCAGTCATCCCCCCATTTCAGTTGTATGTTAATTTCTCATATAGTACAGTGTCTGATATATATCCATTCTACATTGTGATGATCGTTGATCTTTTCATTTGTCATTTTTATTCAGATTTCTTTTTTATTGTGGTGTATGTATTAAAATTAGCTGTTGTCACATGAAATATTACAAGCACTACCTTTGTGATGCCACACTGTATACAACACATGAAAGTACAGTGATATTTCTGTTAGCTGGAACAATTGGTGCAGAGCACTTCCGGGAATAAGAGATTTCCTGGGAATGAGATGACTCTCTCAAAGCCAGAAAAAAATTCCTCATCCCAGAAATTTTCTGGGTAACAGAAAATTTTTCTCAGAAATTTTGCATTACATCATCTTTCAAAGCCGGGAAAAAATCCCTCATCCCCGGAATTTTTCGGGTATGGGAAAAATGTTCTGGAATTTCCAGAAAATGCTCCCGATTATCATCTCTCAAACCCGGAAATAAACACACCCATCCCTGAATTTTCTGAAATCTTCAGGGTACGTATTGGGAAAATTTTCTGGAATTTTTCGTTAAATGTGCCCCCCGGAAAATCGTTCCCAAAGCCAGAGTTTTCCGGAAAATTACAATTTTGGGAACAATTTAACGAAAAATTTCAATTCCGACTATCAGGGAGTTCCGGTTAAGAGGGATTTTGGCAAATGGAGATATTACTGTTAAATGGGTTTTTTCCAGTACCATACCTAAAAAATACAGCATTTGCCAAATTACTAACACAGCTAAAATAGATACCTTTACAAAAAGAATTAGCACTCCCATGAAAAACAAAGTACAGTAGCTAGTTATGAAACAAAGAATGGTGTTAGATTATATATTGTAGATTTTCAGATTTTTCATTCTTTGTTACAAATTAAGGTTATTTTTCTCATTCACCATCAGGGTATTTTTATATTGGGAAATGAAGCTCAGGACACTGTACAGCCTATATCAAGTCTGTGGAAAAAAGCCCCTGATAACTGGGAATGCCATGGTGTGTGTGGCGACAAGGTGGTGCATCTGCCCTACTCCTCTGGCACTACTGGTCTACCCAAGGGTGTAGAAATTACTTCCAGAAACTGGTTGACAGTTCTCTCAACTATTAGGTATGAAACAAATCTTTTAAATTGTATTATTGTATTCACTTTTTTTTAGCAATGCATTTGGTTACCATAACACTGTAGATTTTACTGACACTACTGGATAATAACAGTTGCCCACCCAGGGAAGAAGCCAAACATTCACTGAAAGATGAATCTGTTCCTTCTTATCACATTTTCTCCCATCAAAATATAATACAGGGTGTCCCTGACTTACGAACGCCCACCTATACGAGCAGGGTTCAACTTAAATTTACAGTACAGTACAGTATTTTATTTACCTACGGTAATGACTTATTTTGTCATTCTATTTCTTTTACCATATCTTAAATTAAGTGATTTTAGATGTATATAAGGACTTGGGCAATGATACACGTAGTGGGATTTTAAACATTGTACTGTAAGTACAGTATGCACATAATATATGTTCCGACTTACGTACAAATCTGACTTAAGAACGTCCTCAGGAACAGAACCCGTTCGTAACCCGGGAACCCCTGCATTTATATTATATTTTCTTTATTTATAACACACATCATTTATATATAATGGAATAATTGTTAAAGAAGTCAATTTTTCTGAGATGCAAATTTGTGAGGTCAGCCTGTAGCACTGCATTGAAGGAATTTTATATATATACAGTATACTATATATATATATATATATATTTATATATATATATATATATATATATATATATATATATATATATATATATATATATATATATATATATATATATATATATATATATATATATATATATATATATTTCATGTAAACCCACAATGAAAACACTCGGGAAAAAAATATCTTCACGATTTCTGGTCATTTTGCTGATACCAAACAGAGCGAGTGACAGGCTCATTAAATAAATTTCAGGCGATTCCGAGTGTGAAAAGAATTAATTTGTGTTGTAAAACAAAAATCAGACTTTTAACTGCCAACTCTGTGACATTGCCAAGAGTCTACCTACTCTTTTCCTGTATAATATTTTTAAGGTGGCTGTAAAGTGTTGTATTTTAATGCCCTGAGTAACACTCCATAGGTAATCCAGTACATGTATTTCACAAAATTCAAAGCCCCTTCCCCAGTTGGTCTGGTTTAACACATTTACTCTTTGCTCCATTTACCTTGTACAGTACTTGTATATAAAAACTTCTTCCTCATATTTATTTTACAGCAGAAGAGAATACATGAACATAAGTGATGAAGAAGTTATCCTGGGCCTTTTACCATTTTTCCATGTTTTTGGGGCTAGCATGGTATTGGCCACACTTGTTCATGGAATAACTATGGTCGTTCTACCGAGATTCATACCAGATATTTTTCTGAATACCGTTCAGAATTACAAGGTTAGTGCAATACTGTACCATTTATTTTATTTCACTAGTGAAATTCATCTTAACACTCTGAACTACTTGTTATGTATTTTGTGTAAAGAACTACAATACTTGGGCCACTTCGTATGCCAAACCCATGAAGGCAATTCTGCAAAAATTTATTATAAATTTAATTGAACTTTACAATTTCTTCGTGAGTGAATAAAATAAAAAAAATCCCAATATGATACTGTCTTATCTGCATTTATTTATTTATTTATTTTTGGGTGTTATCTATTACAGGTAACACTGTACAGTACCAGTTTTATAACCAAATATCCTTATAAAACTACATTTTGTCATCAACTAATTTTAAATGAAGAAATATGGAGTTTTCACATGCAGGTGATGACTGTTGAACAATTGGTTGATATACAATATTATCAAAAGGCTTTACGATGTTAAGAAGTTAACACTAATCACCGCTGTACGATGGCTAAGATCAGATTTACGATGGTCACTAACCATTGACTACCCGAATGCTTTTCCTGTATTGTCACTGTGATGAAAAGGTGATGTGCAATAACTTGCAATAGTCCAAGATATGATGACACAATATCGGAATGACGTAACACGTGGGAATGCGTGGGTGGCTCTGCCCGCCCCTGGTGACTGCCCTGCTGAACAGAGGAACTGTGTCATGTACCTTGAGTATGGTTTGTGTGTGGAAATTATTCTTTGTGCATAAAATAATATACTGTATACTGTACCAGTAAATGTGAGGAATAATTAAAAGAAAAGAAAATATATTGCATTGCCATTTGGCAGTCATTTCACTTCATGCTGGATGGACACAAGACATAGAGCAGCTGAGAACCACACTTCGCTCCCAGCTCCTCCATTCTTTTTGATAACTCAGGTTATTTTCCTTGCTTCACAGGAAAATTTCCAGGAGTCTAAACGATGCAACTCGCAGGAGCTGTATTTATTTACGCAAACACTACTGTACATGTACAATATTGTTCATACTGTAAACAAAATAATGTACACTACTGTACTACAGGTTGAACCTCCCTAATCCAGTATGTACTCTATTGTCCGGCACCTCCCGTCGTCCGGCAAGTTTGCCCGACAGCCGCTAATACCCACCGGCGCTAGTATCCATGGTTCGGCATACCCTTTGTTTTCATCTGGTCCTCGTGGAGTTTGGTGCGTTCCTAGGTATTTCAATTGTTTCTGTAATATTTCACTTGTTATATACCTCCTAAGCATATTTATTTTATTATTTCATTTACTGTACAGATATTCTTTTCTTCTTTACAGGTGAACATCACCAATTTATGTACAGGTACAGGCACTGTAACTATTTTGTCATTTTAAGTGTAGAATGAGAATTATTGTCTATCTATTTTCGTTTATTACAATTACACTGTACAGTAGAACATGGCTATAACACAGATATGTTCCAAGAGAGGTCGCTTTAAACCAAATTCGCACTAAATCGAAGTGTTGTTTCAATGGAATAATTTAGTTTGGTACTTAAGAGAAACACAAAATACTAAAAAGACTGTACCACTGTACATGTACAATATATTGTTAATAAAGATGTATCCTGATAACCGACCCATATAGGGACCGGGAATTTCGGGAAAAGTCGATCGTTAGTAAATCAACAGTTATCGAAGCAATTAATTACCTAACATTGAGGCACAGTAACAATATATTTTTAAAGTAACTTTTAGAGATTATTAACTTATACTGTACAATATTAGACATTCTGGATATGCATGATATTTTTAGAGTAGACAGTATTGTCAGTTTTAACAAACCGGTTTTTCTTCCAGCAAGCAGAGTTGGCCTGAGTTTTATGTAAATGTGAATTAACAGGTGTGGTCTGAAATACTGTTCGGGTTAAAGGAAAATGCTACCTACTCCAGAATTAGTTGTTGGGTTTGCAATTGTTCACTACACCTGGATGATTAACCCCTATGTCCCAATTGACGTTTCGTAACGTCCATCTAGGGCGCCCTAGTTGACATTCCAGAACGTGCGCCTTTACGCGCCATTGTTTGAATGCTCAGCGCGGGTTATTAGGTTCCAGCATGACAATTCGGTGGTCATGCCATGCGTAGGGTAGCATGGGTGGGCTCAGTGCGGTTAGTATGCATTAGCCTGTCGCCATGGAGAGTCGTCCCTCAACCTGGAGTCTGTCGCCGAGCACTTTTTATGAAAAATAATGCAAATAAAATAAATTATAAATTAATTAATTATAGGAATTTGGTATTATGATCAGTAAATATATGCATTACTGGCCATGCCGGACACAAAGGCGAGCAGAAAATGGCCGCTATCTGTGTAGTGACCATGAGCTCTCTGTCAAAACAAAACTGCCCTGTTATCTCCCTCACCACTGCGGCCCCAGGAAAGTTTCTAGCAGGTCAATATATAGTTTCCTTACTTTTTGATTGTTTTATCATTTAAAAAGGTTACAAATAATTTTGGGAAAAGTTTAGTTTTCTCGATTTACCCCGCATGGGGGGGTACAGCCAGTGGCACCCTAGTCCGGGGCAGAGGGGTTAAACCTGGACAAAATACTTCCTTTTAATTTTTTTATGTAGTTTTTCATGTATTTTAGGAAACATGGAAGAGCATTTTTTCATAAATTTGGGTCACCATGTCCACCACATGTGTCCACACTCGAAGTGTAGGACCAGCTCCAAGGCTCTTCAAGCTCTGATATAGTAATAATATGCTCTTGAAGCAATTTACTGTAGCCTTAATTGTTGAAGTCTGTACCAAAAGTCAGTACCAGAATATTTCATTGATGTTTTGTACAGTACAAATATCTGAGATTTTATTTCATTGAAAATAAGTAAGGTACCGGTACTGTATACCAGAGATAAATGTTTGTAATCATGACATCTGAGAGTACTTCTCTAACTGCAGGTAACGTATGTGCCACTTGTACCTCCATTGGCCACCTTTTTGGCCAAACAGGATATAGTTTTACAATATGACCTGACCTCTGTTAAGAGTATTATCTGTGGAGCTGCTGCTTTGTCTTCAAATGTAGAAAAAATTATCAACCACCGGGTAAGTAAAATTGGTTTCTCAGTGTATCTGTATATATCTACTTGTACATATGATGAAAGTTAACATATAATTGAATTTGAAGATACAGTATTGTCAAATTGTCACCTTCCCTGTTGATCTTTATCCCCCATGTCTACAGTCATTTTAATTTCCACGAGAATCATTTTACTCCTCCCATAACAATTTTTTCCTCCTCAGTAAAAGGATCGTTTCACCCACCTCCTTTAAGATCTTTACACCTCCATTAAGATCTTTACACCTCCATTAAGATCTTTACACCTCCATTAAGATCTTTTAATCCATCTCTAGGATCTATATTTTCCTCTTGGCTCAAAGTGAACTTCCTTTAGATATGAATTTGGAACAAGACACCTACAGAATATGATCACATGTCACCAATCAATAATGTTCTATTCACTCTTGTTTTCATGGTTCTTAGTGTGCTACAGTAATTTTATTCACCAAGACATCCTCTTTTACAGTTCAGTGGCTGGCAGCAGGTGTTTTCCCTAGCATACTGTTTTGTCATATTTTTAGATTGATATCAAGTACAGTATTCATTGTTAGGAAGTGCATGATGAGACCCTTTTTCTATTTTCCACTTTATATGCACTATTGGCAGATACTAGGTCTGCTCAAGCCCTTAGATGTTCCTCAACATGTGGTGATGCTTGTCTGTCCTGAACTAATAGACTTCTTACCTGCTTCTGTCACAACGTTAAAAGTAATTCTTTTTCAAGGACTCTCAGTATTCATCCTTATTTATGGTTTAGGAATTTGGGGTTTATTTTTTTAATAACTTTCAGTGAAACTATTCTCATTCAAACATTTAATTTTTAGCTCCCAGGTGTAAGGTTGAGACAAGGTTATGGTTTGACTGAAACTACTCTGGCAGCCTTCTCCTGTGAGAGAAATGAACCAGGAGCTGTTGGAAAAATTGTTGCTCATTGTGAAGCCAAGGTACAGCTCATATATGTTAAGTGAAACTGTAGTTTTAGAATAACAAATGTAGTTGAAATAAGCATACTGTAGTATGTATTTTTAGAATAATACATCTTAAAAGATTAACTAAATCCTAACCAAACTGCAGAGCTTTCAGGTACACTATTTTATTTGTCCTCACGATTTTTTTTACCTTAGCTAGTGTCTCATTGCCACATCCCTTAGTTATAGATATTTTGCAGTAGCTGTTTCTCATCCAATGTCGGGGTTGGGTTCCGGCCCATGTATGGGAAAGGGGAATAAGCGTGCTGATACTATGGCAAAAGCAGCTACTTCTCGCCCAATGGCAAGTCGTTCTCCTCTACCTGCTTCTGATATAAAACCAGAAATTGAGCTGCCATTAACTCGAGTTGGAAATGCAGGTGGATGCTGTCAGAGCAAACAAGCTCCGCGACATCCACCCTGCACTGAGTGCCTGGGGATATCAGGGACTGTCACGCCACGAAGAGACTGCTTTGGCCCGCCTCTGCATTGGTCACAAACAGCTGACCCTGGTTTTATAATGTAGAGGGCGCCCCCTCCCCATTGTGATGACTGCATGGTCCCATTGATCGTTTTACACCTGCTGGTGGAATACCCCAGTCTCAGAGATCTTCGTTACAAGCACTTCTCCCGGTGCTGGGGCAGAGTTGGGTCTTACTGTCTCTCTTTGGTGCTGGGGGAGGAGTAAGTAACATAGGAGAGGACGTCGTCTCCTTGTGGAGGAAGCTGACCTTCTATATAAGCATTGAGTTTTATCTATTAATGTATAATTGGTTTTATGAAAGTTCCGTTATTTATTACTTTTGTTGTACCTTGCATTATTTTATTTTAGTCTTTTAAGCTTTAATTTTAATTCAGCTGCTTATGACCTAACTTGTTGCATTGCCAGGGATGTAATTACAGTACCACAATCAATTTAATGCCAATTCCATGGACTTGGTAATAATACAGGTTTATGCACCTACAAATGATAGTGAGGATGAAGTCATAGAAAATTTATGATGAAGGTTAAAGAAAATCAAAAGACACCGTGAATTTTAATGAATATATGATTATAATGGGTGATTTTAATGCAATCCGTAGTTGGGAAAGGGAAAGAAGTGCCAGAAGTAGGGCCACTTGGGTTGGGTAATAGAAATGAGGGGAGAAATACTAATTTACTTTTGTGAGGAAAACAAGACGATAATTGTAAGTACATGGTTTGAACAACAACCTAGGCAGCTTTATGCATGGACAATGTCAGTAACATTGTCAGGAATCAAATAGATTACATATTAATTCAGAAAAGCAGACACCAGAAAGAGGCTAGAGGCCTTAGAAATGTGGTGTTATAGGCAAATATTAAGAATGAGTTACACTGACAGGAAAACAAATGAAGAAGTAATAAGGTTAGCAAAAACTTCAAGAGAAACACTGTACTTGAAATGCACAGAATAGGAAAATAATATAATTAGGGATGAAGGGATAATAGAAATATTAATGGGCAAAGTTGGGGATAGGAAGGCCAGGGGAAGGCACAGACCGGGATTGGTGAATTAATTTAAAATCTGGGTCCCCAGAAAGATACAAAATCTTGGAGGATTGTTAAAAACAGCTCATTTAGAGTGGGGGACTGTGATTGCCAACCCTGAGATATGAAGACATTACAGTACTCTTGTTGATTGTTTATCTAATTTCATTTTCAGTTTGTTGATATGGAGTCAGGGGATTCACTTGGCCCAAATAAAAGAGGAGAGCTCTGTATTAGAGGTCCATTAGTTATGAAGGTAAGAGTTGTGCTTTATGCAGGGACATTATTTGGTACATATTTTCATATTAGTCTTTTACCCTATACAGTATTTTGTGATATGATATATAACTTCTTCTCATCCCACAGCCAGCTTGATTATTCACAACACATTCCAACCCTTGTTATCATTATATGTTTATGTAGGCTCCTTTAGAGTCACTCCTCTTGCTCTTACATTTATTCAACAATTTTGCTGTAATTTTGACATTTGTGTAGAGACTGTAAGTGATTAAAGTGTGTAGAGAAGGATTCACAATTTCTTCCTATTTCAGATGTAACCTTTTTGATGCTATTTTACATTTAAAAAAAAAAGTTTCATCAAAAAGGTTTTAGTATAATCAATAATTGGTACTTTTCTCATAGGGTTACTTGAATAATGAAGAAGAAACAAAGAATATAATTTGCGATGGGTGGCTACATACAGGCGATGTTGGCTACTACACTGAAGACCGCATCACATATATTGTGGATCGTATTAAAGAACTTATAAAGTATAAAGGTTTCCAGGTATGTAAATAACAATAATTAAAGGACTTGGTCACCTTTAGTTGAACAAACTTTTTCCAATACCAGTACAGGAGGTCCCCAACTTACGAACGAGGTTAAACCTGAAATTTACAGTATTGTACAGTATTTTATTTACCTGATGACTTTTTTTTACTTTCATTTAATGTTTTCTGTCATTCTATTTCTTCTTTTGTCTTAAATAAAGAGATTTTAGATGTACATAAGGACTTAGGCTGTGATATAGTGGGGTTTTAAACATTGTTCTGTAAGTATGGTATGCACATAGAATGTGTTCCTACTTACAGACAGATTCGACTTGAGAATGTCTTCAGGAATGGAACCCGTTCGTCACCCGAGGACCCCCTGTAACTAATTTATTGTTATTGAATCTTGAATATCAATTTCCTGTGCTCTCACAAGGGATTCTATTACACTACAGTATAACACTTAACATTACGTAACACTCATCTCGGTGAATACAGTTGTTGATAACCAGATTTTGTCTCATTTTCAACCTAGAGTTCTATCACTCATACTTTTTTATTGTTGATTTAATAGTGTTTTACTAACCTTGTTATGCACTTAAAGGTCTTAGTTGTTGAAGTTCAGTTATAACATTATACGTAACAACAGTTGATTTTCTTGAAACAGTCCAGATAAGCAGTGTTATGTCCAGACATCCCACATAAATACACTTTTATCGGACTTTCCCATTTTCTTGACCGGGGTCTGCCCCAATTAGTCCTGTGTATCAAGGTACTACTGTACTACACACACACACTCATACACATACAAAATGTAAATATATAATAATAAAAAATATATTTATATATATTAAAAATCTCTCTGCCTCGGTCCGGTGTTTGGAAATGAACACATTGTACAGCAGTTTCGATTTGGTTGGTATTTCTGATTGTGAGTTACACCTGATAATAACAATGGTAACCGCAGTATACCACCTATTTTCTAAATGTATTGAAGTAGGGTGAACTATGATACCATATGGAAAACTAATGACAAGAAAAGGGGCAGATACAGTAATTGTATTTTGTGTGTGTACCTGTAGAACTAGTTGTAATGATTTTGCTGAAGAAATACTGTATTTCTATTTCAAATTTTTTACAGTCTCTATGCACATTATAGTGCCACCAGCATGCATTTCAGTTCTTGGTTATCTTTGCAAATAAAATTTATTTATTTATTTTTTTTTTTTTTTACTCAGGTGGCTCCAGCTGAACTTGAGGCTCTGTTGATGACAAATGAGGATATTTTTGATGCTGGAGTTGTTGGAGTTCCAGATGAAGAAGCAGGAGAGTTGCCCAAAGCTTATATATCACTGAAAGCTGGGAAGACTGTTGTGCCAGAAGACATCATCAACTGGGTACATGGTAAGTGTAATAATCATAGAATTTATCAAAGCTTGGGTACAGTAAGCCCTCTCAATCCTTAAATGGGAGGATTACCATCCATTCCTGACCATTAAAATGCACATCTTGCATAGTAATGAGTATTTTAGTCTATAGAAATTCAACTTACCTTGATTATTTCCTTTAAGCACAGTAAACCCTCGATAACTCGGCACTTATGGGGCTCTGGCCTTGCCGAGTTATCCCAAATTCTGACTTATCGAGACATTTCCCCCCCCTACAAAAATACAACAATAAAAAGTTATTGACCCATGTATGTGTACATGTTATCACTATACTAAATGTAAAAAAGTAACACTTACCAGCGCTTCAGGTGAAGAATGAAGCATCATAGTAGGTGACATAGATGCATGGTAGGTGACACAGAGGTATGGTAGGTGATACAGAGGCATGGTAGGTAATGCAGGTGGCCAGATATGCCGAGATTTTCCCAGATAATTTTATGTATCTCGGCATTTTCCGAGTTATACTAATACATTCCGAGACCATATCCATGCTGAGCTATATGAAGTTCCAAGTTATCAAATGCCGAGTTATCAGGGGTTTACTGTACAGTAATACCCCGATTTACGCAGTCAATTGAACCTGTGGAGGCCCGCGTAAAACGGGAAACGCGTAAATGGAACAGAACATATCGGATTAATTGAAATAGAGACTGGGCCGTCCCCCAAACTCCACTTTTTCAGACACAATGCCTACGTTGTAGTAAAAATAACATCTTAATTTTATGATGGTATGCAACACAATTAATAATTAAGGGAAATATCAATAATATTAGGTTTTTTAACACTTACATAAGTAGAAAAGATGGCTGGGCACACGGGGATGGGGGGTTGGTTCCGAGGCAGAGGGCAGATTATTGGCACTCACCTGTATCACTTGTATCAATTGTATCACGATCCACCACAGAGGCTTGCAGGGCCTCTTTGTCAAACCCCTCAAAGTCCATATGAGTCCATATCCTCACTATCACTGACTTGGGCCGGCTGTGGTGGGTAGTGGGTGAAGAACTCGGTAATGTTTTGATGACTGGGCGACCTTGTGCGCACCCTGCCTGTGCCGCTTCCCGCGTATATGAGTACAGTGAGTTCTGCTATAACGCGTGTTTTGACAACGCGAATTGGCTCTAACGCGATTTATGAATAGAGGAACGATATTTGTATAACGCGAACGCTTTTTTGCTGTAACGCGATTTTTGCTTACTATTTCTCCAATTTTGTGGCATTAACTGTGAATATGGTAAAGAAGAATATCTCCAAGAAGCGTTCTGGTGATCGCATTCCCAGTGATGATCGTAAAAGAAAGGCTATAACCCTTGAAGAGAAGCTCGATGTTATCTACCTCAAAATCACCCTTCTCCCCCATCAAGTTATATTCATATTTTTTCAAGGTAAAGTGTTACATTTACTGTATGATTTCATTATTAGATATGAATGTAACATTTATTTAGACTGTGCTATCCTTTGTGTTAGGCTAACTACTAAATTTTTTCGATTTCGAGTAGTAATCTGCACCTAACCCTATTTTCTCCATAAGCCCTGTTATTTCTATTACGTGAATTTCTATAACACGATGTTTTACAAGAACACAACTATCGCGTTATAGCAGAACTGACTGTAGATGCACCGCGTAAAGTGTGAATTCCGGTTCTGGCGGGGTACCACGTAAATGTGGAAACATGTGAACGGGAACCGCGTAAATCGGGGTAGTACTGTACTGTGTTTCATTAATAATTATTTTCTGTTGCATCATTTTAAATTAACATCATTTTGGAAAATTTAAAATTTGTGCACTACCACCATTACTTTTCATAACATCTGTAAACAATTTCCTCCACTTCTGGCTCATTCTAGTCAATAGCAGATGTTCCCAAATATCTGGACAAAATCATGTCCATTAATGGTAATATCTGGTGTTGAGAAGTCTCTTATTATTCTTTTCAAATTAGTTTATTAAATTTGCTTTATACAGAAGTATTCATTTTTATTTGTTTTACTTTCTTCTTAACTAGATATGGTAGCCCCACACAAACGCTTACGAGGTGGTTTGGAGGTAATTGATGTTATCCCACGCTCACCTGCTGGCAAGATTCTCCGAAAGCAACTAAAGAAGAAGATAAACTCATGAAAGAGATGCATCGTGTGAGAAGAGGTGATTGTGTTTGGATCATGATAAACATTTTAAAGAAAGGCCTGAGTATACAGACACAAAGGAAGGCTTGGAAGTACAGTAAGCGGAAATTGTGTATGACAAGAGGAGTTTTATTTTCAGAAACATGAGAAATACTTTCAGGAATATACAGATATACAGTACTGTACTGTATGTAGTGTAAGTGTAATCTGTATCTGTGCTTTTACACCCATTTACAGTCACACTGTATTAAATGCAGAGATATTTCAAACATTGCGAAAAAAAAAGATACAGGTACACACACACACACCTCCAAAAAGTATCTTTACAAGACAACAGGAGTTGCAGTGTTAATTTAAAATTCATTGCACCCTTCCATGAAGATGCTTTTTAGAGTTTTTGCATATACGAGGTGCGATCCAAAGGTTCCCGCACTGGCTTCATAAAATCTTTATTTTTCAAGATATTAAAGTGAAACTTTAGTCACCCTTAAAATATTCTTCAGAGGCCTCAATGCAGTGCTGAATCCCCCCCCTCCCACTTCTGGAAGTCCTTGTTGGTGAGGCTGGAGAACACCTTCTGTGATGTGTCCTGGATCCCCATTCTGTCCATGATCATCTTCCCCTTGAGGTTCAATTTGAACTTCGGAACAGCATGGCATCCCAGTGGCCCCCCACCCTCCATACTCTCCGGATCTGGTCCTCTGTGACTTCTGGCTGTTTCCGAAGTTCAAATTGAACCTCAAGGGGAAGATGATCATGGACAGAATGGGGATCCAGGACACATCACAGAAGGTGTTCTCCAGCCTCACCAACAAGGACTTCCAGAAGTGGGAGGGGGGGGATTCAGCACTGCATTGAGGCCTCTGAAGAATATTTTAAGGGTGACTAAAGTTTCACTTTAATATCTTGAAAAATAAAGATTTTATGAAGCCAGTCCGGGAACTTTTGGATTGCATCTCATATGTACTGTACGTACTACCATAAAATCCAAATATATATTTGAACCTGGGTGTCTGTTATAAGGCTGATACCCCCCCGCCCCCTCCAAAAAAGTGATTTATAATAGATTCTTTAATCTCATTTTAAATAAAATACACTGTTGTGATTCTGAACAAAGTTAAATTTATTAAGAATTGAATTATATAAATTGTCACTGCAAATAACTACCTGTAGTGTACCGTGACCATCATCAAGGATTGTTTCATGTTCATTACGTTCTATTTTTTAGCATATGGGGGTGAAGTTGGGTATCCTTAGCCACTAGTTATTGAATACTTTTCACTGTTTACATACATAATGTATGTAGGAAAATAAAAGTTCATTGAAATTTGTTAATAATCCATAACAAGTCTTGAAGACAAGATGCAGCAAATCAATGTTTGACGTTTGTGTATATTAGTGCTTATAAGTCGGTAATTTCTGTGAAAAGGACATTACTGAACAGCTTCCAAACTAATGTCTGTGATAGAGAGAAGCTTCAGGATGTGGTTCTACATCTTTCAGATCTTGTGATGGAGTCCATAGCCTTGAGTGTCACCATAAGGGACAGTGCTTTATTACATTGTTAAGCTAATTAGAAACATTTAAAATAATATCATTAGATTTAAGAATGAAGAATACGGTTCCTCACATCAGCTTTTCCAGTATAGTGCAATGGAAAACCTATGCAGAGATGGCAGGAGTCTTAAAAATGAGCTGTCGTGTACATTTTATAGGTGACAGCCCATTATTAGTTTTGGCCACACTTAACCATTCCAGAAATATTTAACTGTATCACCAAGGGACAGTATTATTTATGTTCATTTATTACAATAATACAGTATACCTGTAGTATATTTTTAGTACATCGCCAACATGGTGAGAACTGTTAATTTTACTATTGAAAATAATGACCTCAGGAATACTACTACTGAATATAATGATAAATTAGCTCCACCACACACATATGACATGCTATTTATGCCACACATGTTTATGTTACACACTGCACACATATGATGCACTAGCTATGCCACATATTAGTTACACCATATACAGTACAGGTATATGATACTCTAGCTGCACCACACTTGTTAGGTTAGCTGCACCACACATGATGAATTAGCTGCACCACACATGATGAGTTAGCTGCATCACACCTGATAAGTCAGCTGCACTACACATGATAAGTTTGCTGCACCACACATGATACACTAGCTATGCCACACATGATAAATTAGCTACACCACACATGATAAGTTGGTTACGCCACACATATAATACACTAGTTGCACCACATAAATTAGATATGATAAACTAGCTGCACCACATATGATATACGAGCTGAACCCAGGGCTTGGGAGAGGGGAGTGTAAATGGCTACCAAAACACCAGAGCCTGCCGGCAGGGAGCCCAATACAGCCTATAGGCTGTACCAATGATTAAATTTTAAAAATATTTTTGAATACGGTCTTCATTATACACCGGGATGTGTCCCAGAAAAATGCAACTTATAATTAAACATTTTATGATGAGGAATTTCCCCCCTTAAGAATGAATGTAATTTGGGGTATATTACAGTACAGTACAGGGTACATGCATTCCAATGTGTATAGTACTACCCCTTGAAAGCTCCGGATATGTCCCAAGAGAAAGAGAGCTTTCAGCAAATCAGCTTACAATGGAGTCATTATAACATACTGTATTGTACTGTAGTGTATTTGATATGGAGATAAGTACATTCCTAACAACATTAGTTGTTACCTTTGAATGATACATGATGGCTCGATTTGGCTACTTATACAATAAGACAACTGATTAATAAATAAACCAGGGTATGTGCAGGTTCATAATACACTATACTGTAATATTATTTATCAAGTGCTAATTAATACACTACAATATTATTTAATAAGTGCTGAAGACATGTTGTGGTAAGCATGATGACTTTTTTTTTACGGGGATTAACCCACCTGAGCAAAGGTCACTGACCCACATCAGGGCCTGGGGGGCAAAAATATAATAATAATAAGTAATAAAATTATATAAAAATTATAACCAAAAAATAAAAATAATAATAACCATAAATAAATACACAAACGAAAAAAAAAATCTAAGAGTGAGAAATGATATACAGCATGTTGTGCTGTCAATAGTAAGAGAAACAATTGAAACCCTGCAATTGTGTGTAAATGAGGCAGAAAGTCAGATCAGCAACCTGGGACTTATTCACAATTTTTGTGATGCCATATGGCAACAGGGTCCACCATTATACAATACATTATGCTTCCAATATCTTCCCAGGCGGTAGTACCTCCCTGTTTGATAGGGATGGTGCAGTCAATCAGCTGTTTGTGCTATGTAAACAAAATGACCAGGAATTTAATATGAACAATAACTCCTCTAGGGTTGTGTGTGGGTTTTCTCTCAGGAAAATTAATTATTTTACATTGTTTTATTAGCCCAGCACCAAATGAACCTAAATAATATGGGAATTATGGTGAAATTGCATACTGCCGTTATATTTGGATCGTGGGTTGAGGAGCACAGGAGGTGAGTTGTCCCCTCATTCCAACTAGTACTCCCTCCTTCCTCTGCCACCTCCTGCTCTCCCTGGCTATGCACCAAGATGTATTTTTATTCATTTATTTACAGTATTTATTTATTTTATACATGCAAACCCTCCATTGTAGAAGAACTGAATAAGGTTTTCTAAATTTTCCTTGTGTGATATAAATGTCTGTGGTGAGGTACTGTATACAGTAGACCGGCAAGTCATGATGTGGTGCCAAACTGCCTGCTACTCTCGGATGCACTCCATTTCCCACTCAAAATACTGTATACCCCTTTCCTTAATTTTTCTTTTATATTTTTATATTACTGTACAGTACTGTATATAGAAATTCCTCTGCTCATTAGGCACACTAGCACATTGAGATGAATTTTCGGCAAATTCTGTGGCTACTTACACATGACAATGGCATAGCACAATCATGTGCGGGGTGACTGGCATATTTTGGTGTGGTAGAAACTTGACATTTGTAGGGCGCTTTTATTATTACAGTAAATTTTTACATTATATTTGATGTTATTAGCACTATTTATGCACCATAGTTGGATATATAGACTAAATATAAAACAGTAGATGATGCAAACGAGGTATGTGTGAAACAAATGACGGATAATGAAAATTTCTTCCTATATTTGTTAGCGACGTATATATATGAAATGACATAATAAGGACCCCTTACTATGTATTGAAGTGCAACACACACATTAACAAATATTAATGGTAGTTTAAATGTGGGTGAATTTTGCCATACTATCCGTTTTGCATTTCTGAAGTCAGACATCACAAGCACTGTACAAGATAGGTATGTGTAGCGGGTTGGCATCATTTTCACCTTGGCTAATGACTTAGGTTTAGCTCAGCCTCACCTTGGAGGATTCGAATAGTGGCACTAATTGAGACAAAGTTGTATGGATGAGCCACACCTCTCCCCGTTAGATTATTCATAACGACATTATAACAATGAATCCAATATAATGATTCAATGAATAATACTTAATAAATTTGAATACAACAAATAATGATGTTGGTATTAGCTCTTTTCTGCTAGATATAAAAATAATATATATACCACAGGTTTAAGATTTATTTAAGGGTTTAGCATGTAACCTCATCATTAATCAAGTGCACAGAAGAGAAAAGAAAAATAAGGAAGGGAAGAATCCGATTGAAAATGTGCTAGAACTTTGTTTCCTGTCTGTATAAATAAAAAAAAAATTTAGAAAATATCAGTATGGATAAAAATTAAAAGTTTGCCTTATACTTCTGGTTCTTTGGATGTCAAACAAAAAGCTAAAGTTGAAGAGACATCATTAGTTTTAGAATCCAGAGATGTGTCAAAACAATGTCAGTGAAATCTCCTTTCTTCCTGAAAGACCATCGAGTATGCAGATTGAAGCATATGTTAGAAATGACCCTCAATCTCCACCTAATCACACTAGGTGTAAGAGGCCTGCAAACCATACAAAACACACAGAAGCCCGAGATGTTTCTCTCATGGCCTGGCTACACCACACATTTGATGCATTAGCTACACCACACATACGATACATTAGTTTCACCAAGTGTTAAACTAGCCCCATGAAGTGGGCACAGCACTCTCCTGTCTTGAAGGTCGCTGGATCATACCCAGGACGCCCCCAGTCCACCCTGTTGTAAATGTGTACATAACTTAACTGCTTGATAAGTGAATGCAGTTGAGTGCAAAAGCTTTTAATTCACTATGCTGTATTCCGGGTGTGTGGGACTCACTTTCTCCATACATATGATGAAATAATGCCACCTACATCACTACTAGGATACTGAAATGTAAAACAAAGGGAATCTGTCAGAGTAGATGGAGTACAGGCAGGGTAGTTTAGGGGGACACAGATGGACCATCAAGTGTGCATACATGAACTTTTAATTAAAAGTACAGGTAATTAAGAAATTTTCATCAATAGGACAGGATAATACTTTAATGACTCGGAAAACATTCAAACTGCGTACTACATCCTTGACCACCGAAGGGTCGAGACGTGCCTGGCGCTCCTCTCGGAGCAGCCAGGTCAACTGTTGTGTTGGCCCATACCAGCCCCCTCCCCTGAACCCTCCTCCCCACCGGAATATCAACATGTTCTCGCCAGAAGTTGCTGTTTCATTTAGGAAAGGAATGGAACCAGTGTTAAACAGAGGTGAACAGTGGTGAACGGTGCTTAAGTCAGTGAGAACAACTCAACAGTAACAGTCGTACCCGGGTTGACCTTCACACAGTGAGGTCCCAGGTACCCAGTGATAGCGGCCCGTGAGACCCAACAACCAGCGATGTGTTAATCCGTCTACAATAGGAAGGCCTGGGACCACACCTCACTCATATAACACCATCTGTGAGGGAATTACTACACCACGTCAGGCCCCTTATAACACCATATGTGAGAGAATTACTACACCACGTGAGGCCCCTCATAACACCATCTGTGAGGGAATTACTACACCAAGTGAGGCCCCTCATAACACCATCTGTGAGGGAATTACTACACCACGTGAGGCCCCTCATAACACCATCTGTGAGGTCCCTCCTAACACCATCTGTGAGGTCCCTCCTAACACCATCTGGGAGGGAGTTACTACACTACGTTTTTGCTGTTCAACACCTACAATAATCTGTATGTTCACTGTATGTTCCTTTACCTTTCTCTAATGAAGGCTTTTGTTAAACCACCTATGTATGTAATAAGTCATTTATGTCCAATGTATATTTTCAGCCTTCGGGCTGCAGAACTTTTTCAATAAACCGTCAATTATTATTATTATTATTATTATTATTATTAATATGCAAGGGACAGTGATTTTGCGTTAGAAATTTATTTAAGTTCCATGATTATCAATCTTTGGCAATATTTTGCATATTTTTGGTAACTGCTATATAAAGCTCACCAGATATCTCTAAAGCATCATGTGGGGCAACCCAATGAGTTTTACATATACTGTACTGTATATTTCAGTCAGGCTGCACTTATTTCCCCTCCCCTACAGTTCCATGTAGGTTCATATTTGTCTTGAGGATAGACAGTAAATTATATAGTCTATCTTCAATGATACTTAGATATTTAAATTATGTAGAGTAAAATAATACTGCCAGGTTCCTGTACAATATATGGACCAATGTTTCAGGGCTACAAGGGCACATTTGCATGTGCCCCTCAGTGCCCCCCCCCCTCTCCCTAGATCCAGCTCTGGGAGTGATAAATGTGGTCAAGTGCTGATAACAGTGCCTTTAGTGTTGCAAACTACTGTAGGAACATAATTAACACTTGCCTTTTAAATCAATGCATTTTAACATTTTCACGAGATAAAAAGAATGAATGAACATTTGAATAGAGAACTTGTGTTGCGTTTGCTTCTAGCCAGTCAGACTCAGAGTAGGAGAGGGATAACAAAAGTGAAGAGAAATAGATAAGAAAATGCAATATCATATAGCATAACTCATTTTTAGTACCAAAATACAAAGTGGTTATTACAGTGTAAAGGCCTGGGAATTTGGGGATAGAAATCCCATACCAGGTTAATCAGAATCTTAATAAAGGAAAGTCAAGGACCATGGTTTTCTGAGGAATAACAAACGACCATTTGAGATTGACATCTCTTTACTATAAAAATATAACACAATACTCTGACACCACTCAACAAACATCAAATAACAATTACGGGAGTCAAACAATTAATGCAGTCAACAGTTAATGGAGTTAATTAATTAAGGGAAGCAAACAATTAAAGGGAGCAAACAATTAATGGGAGTCAGCAATTAATAGAATCAAACAATTAATGGGAGTCAACAACTGAAAGAATCAAACAATGAACAGATATTTCCTATGGCAGTGGCCCTGGGGGAAGGTTCTGGAACACGGTGATGCACACTCAGGGTAGGGAAGCGTCCATTCAACTCCACACTCGAGCGACATCGTGAAATGGCAGGAGAACACCGGGGCACAGATGGAATGAGATGAACTGACGGTCGTGGTAGGTGGTACAGTAGTGGTAGATGTCCAGAGAATTGACAGTTGATAGGTGAAGGTCTGGGGACACAGCCCACGAGCCCAGGACCTATGATGAGATCACAGCCAGAATTTGATGAACAGCGGGGTAGCTAGATAGTGACTATGGCGGCTGGGTTGAATCTGCCGGTGACCCAGATAGTCGCTGCCGTTCTCACCTCTGTCCAACCGCCGCAAGTGTCTTCCGCACCAGCAAACGAGAGTTAGCAGCGGTAACGAGCAGGAAGATCGTTTCCGCCCTTACATAAGGTAACTGTCCTCGTTGCATGATGTTAAGATACAAATCCATTCAAAATTAACACGTAAAATTGCTATCAGTAAATGGCTATTCTTTATATTAAACATTTCCAAGATAGTGAAAGATGTAATGAAATTATTGAAATGTGCTCAATTTACAGTTCACTTGCTGAAGTTAAGAATAATGTTTGAACCCAAGAATCAGTTTTGTTAATATAGTACTATACAGTAATGGAAACCTGATACTGTACTGTACATATTGAATTTTGCATTTTAAATGAAAAATCAAATGTAAGAATTTCTGTACAGTATTTTAATATACTGCAGCTGAAGATATTTACTGTATATTATTTTCACTCTTGCAAAGAATCTTAAATACTGTATTTCAAAATTTTCCAATACAGTACACTAAACCCTTGTGGGCTCCATAATATGGTTCCGCAAGCACCATGGCACCTGCCAACTACAGGTTGGGGACCACTGCTGTGAAAACTATGACATGCAGGAAATGCTTTTTGCTGTGATTTTATACATAAATAATCTCTTGAGAATTTGATTTAAAATATTGTAGTGGATTTCTCCCCTACAAACGCTGTTTGTCGCTGAGTAGCCGACCCCACGAATTCCCCGGTGTATGCTTCATGGTCTGGGTCAACGGCGACCCACAAGCTGTCCTCCTCTGAGCACCCTCACCAACCAGCTCTCTCTACATCACGCTTGTAACCACGCTGCCACTTCCCAGCACCAAGCTGCATTGTACATCCAATACAACATGTATACAGAGAGCACATTGTGAGTTTCCTTTCTCCATCCCATCCTGAGTGTGAACAAAACCACCCGTACCCCACAAATGGTGACCCCCGGAGATTCGCACTCACACAGGATGGAGGAGAAACAGATCACGCTCCCAGTCTCTACAGCTACTGTCTCTACACCCCAGGTTAGACACCCTAGAGCAGCTCTGCTACTCTAAGCAGACAGCCGCTCCTCTTCCTGCCCCAAGCAGCACGTTCTACCGACCCCAGCACACCCGTCCTGCCTCAGACGCCGCCCCGGCCCAGCAGTACCCCCTGCCATTCCTCATGATGCAGCCCCTGCTCCCGACGCGGCCCATGCGCCTGAGTGCGGACCCACACACCCCTCTTTTCTCCCTCAGGTACTCCCTGCTACTGTCCTGCACCCTGCTGCTGTCGTGGACCCAGCTGCTGTCACGAGCCCTCATCCGCTTCTGCTGACACAGCCCCTGCTCCTGACCCAGGCCCACACACCCCAGCAGGCGCATCTGATGGCTCTGTACCTGCCGTGAGGGAAGCACAACATTCATCGCCTCCACACAACCCTCCTTCTCCCTCTCTACTCCCACAGATGTTGTGTATCTAGACAGTTGTCTCCTCTAGCGGCCGGCTCATCCACGCCCTCGCCGTTATGGCTCACATGTGGCATGCACCGCCCGTTCTGCCTTTCATGTGCCATGCAACCCTGTAGACAAAAAGTCTCCTACACCTCCTGGAGGGAAGGGGGGAGTACTGTAGTGGATACCTCCCATACAAACGCTGTTTGTCGCTGAGTAACCGACCCGCGAATTCCCCAGTGTATGCCTCGTGGTCTAGGTCAACCAGCGCCGCCTTACATGACGGAGGTCAACTCACTAGCGTAGCTAGGGGGGGGGGCGGTCCGCCCCGGGCGGCACTTTTGGGTCTGCTCATCACCCATATCTGCAGCTACTGGAGACGTTAATCCATCCCTTTGTATCGGCGGCAAGTTAATCCTTGTCGTGTCTGACCTAACACCTGACCCACATCATCACGGCCACGTCATGAGCTACACCCTTGCTATGAGGCCCCCCGCCACACACACAACCTGTAACCTGTTGAGGATTAAGGAAACAACTTCAAACAAGTACGCCAGTGAGCTCATGTGGTGTGGGTCAGGTGTTAGGTCAGACACGACGAGGATTAACTTGCCGCCGATACAAAGGGAAGAATTAACGTCTCCAGTAGCTGCAAAACCATGCAGTCTCGGGTCATATAAGTTCATGTACAGCCGACCAATCCACCAGTTACAAGCAATTCACTTCAGTTCTCCACAAGTCTCCATCGTGACAAGACGAGGGGAGGCTAGACGACTTTTAAGTTCTCTTGTGTTTTCGATCCAGTTATTTACTTCGTTGGAAGACATAATACTATAAGGTAAGAAATATTAAAGTATTGGTTAAAAAATATTGATGTGACTTTTGCTGCGGTACTGAGATTAAATATTAAGATTTTGTTTCACAGCATTGCGATTTTATACTAAGACACTATCCTCACTGGGGTACAGACAAAAGCCCCCCCGACAAAAGCCACCCAGACAAAAGCCCCCCAGACGAAAGCCACCCAGACAAAAGCCCCCTACTTTGATCGGGGTGGCTTTTGTCTACAACATATATATATATATATATATATATATATATATATATATATATATATATATATATATATATATATATATATATATATATATATATATATATAGAGTGAGTCACTGTGCAATATGTATTTTTTGTAGGGTCACGGGGGGCGGCAAACTCAAGGGCCGCCCCGGGCGGCACACACTCTAGCTACGCCACTGGGTCAACTATTAAGCCACGCCTACCTCCGCTATATAAGACCTGACCTCGTACTGACCACTCTCTTTTCTACCTACACCAACCAGCAACCAACACCTCCTCCTCCTCCTGCCTGGCGGCCCTCCCTCCCGCCGGCGAGCATGGCGACCCACAAGCTTGTCCTCCTCTGAGCATCCTCACCAACCAGCTCTCTCTACATCACGCTTGTAACCACGCCGCCACTTCCCAGCACCAAGCTGCACTGTACATCCAATACAATATGTATACAGAGAGCACATTGTGAGTTTCCTTTCTCCATCCCATCCTGAATGCGAACCCAAACATCTCGTGCCCCACAGTACAACAACACTAATTTTACAACATGTTCAATATCATTAGGTAAATTTTTCTTATCATAAATTCCACCCCACAAACTGCCTCTCAGTACCTGCGGTATATTATTTATATATCGTGTTAGCTGGGAGCAATGGACCGACGGGCGGTAGTTAAAAAAATGTCAGGTTATCAATTACCCAGGATAAGTATTCATAGAATCCCATAAACTTTATTTTCTTATTATGGATTATTTATACGGTATAAAAAAATGCAGAGTTCTATCTCTCATAATTTTTAAATTTTAATTACTGTACTAACCCTGTTATGCACTTAAAACACCTTAGTTGTTGCAGCGCAATAATAACATGTAACAAAAACAGCTACAATGTATTTCTTTTAACCAATATAATTAACAACAAAATTAATATAGTCGAGAAAAAATGAAGAGGACCTTGAAATTTCTATCCTCAGAGTGATAACCTTATTTACTGAAAAGGTGAAAGGATGAATAAATATTCCAATTTCCTGCACAAAAGCCCTCTATCCTGCCATTCTTCACAGACTCAAAAGAGAGGTGGATAAAGATAAAAGAAAGACATTAATGATGATGGGATGGAGGAGAAAAGTGTTGTGGCGAGGAAGCAACAAGGGCGGCAGTTCTGCGGGGCGCTGGACGGGTCAATACCTGGCACCAGCTGTACTGTGTTGTACCTACACCCTCCTGCACCACCATGGGGGATTCCGAGCTGCCATCGGGTTGGGAGAAACGTGTCAGCCGCTCTACGGGTATTGGAAATGTGTATTGATATTTTTTAGACCTATATAAGTGGTAATATTAGAGATTCTTTATATTGAAGGTTCCGTAAACACGTTAACCATGAATCCTTCAGCTGTTTGCCGCATCCCGCCGTGTACAGCACTGCGGTTAGAGTCCTGTGTTTATTTTTACCTATTTTTCGTGCTTAATTTGAATATTGTTATTTTTTATTTGGTATAACTTGTTTGATTTTTAAATTGGTGTATTGGGGATTTTGACAAAATATAACATTTGAGAAGTTTCCCATATCTTTAATGATACCCCTTAAAATGAGGAATGACCATGTTTTGCATCATGAGAACACATTTATTACTGTCATATAAGTTTGGCTAAAAGTTTACACAACTGTTACCTCCGGAAGGAAATGTGCTATGTGCTTGAATTTTTTTGTACACACTATTAAAATAAGAACATAAGAATGGAGGAAACTGCAGCTGGCCTATTGACCCATACTGGGCAGTCCCATTCACACCCAACCCCTATTGCTCATATATCCATCCAACCTGTGTTTGAAGCTATCCAGCGTATTTGAGTTAATGATGATATTTTTTGGTAACTTGTTCCATTCATCCACTACTCTATTTCCAAACCAATTTTTACCTATTTTGCGCCTAAATCTAAATTTGTCTAATTTAAAACCATTGTTACGAGTTCGCTCCTGGTTTGATAGTTTGAGTACCTTTGTAATGTCCCCTTTGTTTAGCCCTGACTGTCATTTATACACCTCGATCATGTCGCCCTTCACTCTACGTTTCTCGAGGGAATGCAAATTAAGATGCTTTAACCTGTCTCTGTACTCAAGATTCCTAATGCCCAGGATTAGTCTTGTCATTCTCCTCTGAATTCTTTCTAGGGATTCTATATCCATTCTGTAATACGGTGACCAAAATTGAACTGTAATCCAAGTGAGTTCTCACAAGCGCAAGATATAGTTTTAGGATGACCTCGCTAGTCTAACACTCCTTCGTAATGACCTAAGTACTTTATTTAGCCTTGTTTTGAGCAAATACACATTGTTTACTTGGCTTAAGATTCCTACTTATCATTACTCCTAAATCTTTCTCACAGTCGGATTTCTCTATAACATCGTTGTTTATCTCATGTCTGGTTTCACTGTTTACGTCTCCTAAACTAAGTACTTTACATTTGTCCACATTGAATTTCATCTGCCATTTTTCAGACCACTCAAAATTTTTTTTTAGATCTTCCTGAGTTTTGCAGAGTCCTCGTCAGATTTAATTACACACCCTATTTTAGTGTCATCAGCAAATTTACTTATGTTACATAGAACTTAATAGAACCTGACCAAACAAACTCATCCCATTAGGTCAAGCTGTAGTAGGTTTTATGCATTTTCGTGTGCATTTAAGTGTTTAATAGTGTGTACAAAAAATATAAACCAAATCACACTGAGCCAAAGAACCTAGAAAACCCTACCTAATGATTGTCATAAGCAAAAGAACCTAGGAAACCCTACCTAACGATTGTCACGAACGAAATTAACCCTAAATGATAACTTACCTTAATATTTGGCAAGCAAAGTAAGCAAAATAACCTAGAACACCTTACCTAACTTTTTTCACGAAAGCAAAAAATCTTAAAGAACTTACCTTAATATTGAGGGCAATTGCGTAGGAGCGCTTATTACATTGAAACTCGTATATTTTGTTATTGTGTAAGTTTCTTCCGCATTTGGAACATTTACAAGTGCACTTAATTAAATCATAGTAACAAATAAGAGCTAACAAACGAGAATCATCAAAAACTAGGCCTGATAATTCGCGATAAGAATAATCATAACCACCGCAGGCCAACGATGTAACGAGACGCTCTAACATGTAATAATCACGTCATGTACCCTCCCTTGGGGGAACTGTATAAGAGGGAGAACACACAGTTCAAAGAGAATTGTGATGAATGTTAAGGGTATAGAATGACAAGAGAATCCAATCAGAGTAAACGATCATGTAAAATTAGAAATATGGCACATTACATCATTTATTGCTTGATAATAAAAGAAAAAAGAAATACTATCGATGATATAAAGAAAACAGAGAATGCATTTAATAAATAAACAAAAGAATAAAGTGATATTTAAGTAATTGCAAGCTTAATAAAACTGCATAATTATTTTATTAAAAGGATCAGTAATAATGGAACAAAATTGATACAATTATACAGGAAGCGAGCAATGGCGGTGGGACAGGAATTGTGAAGCAGGACTGACTTACAGTAAGACAATAAATTTTGGCATTTGAAATGCACCTACAGACATAATTTTAATGCCATAACATAACATCAGTGTTCGCCGTGTTTTTACCCCATAATTTCCCTCACCTTTCGTGCCCCGCCTACTAACAAGGAATTTAAGATCGTAGGATAGAGTAATTGAAAAAAATTCTGAAAAAAAATATAGTAAAGAGTTGTCGTTTCTTTTAACCTACAGTACTTAAAATAATCTAAACCATAAGTATAGCAAAAATAAATAAAATCAACAAATAACTTCTAGTGGTAACGGTTTTGTAAACATATTCCTAAGTTAGTTCAGGAATAACACTCTTGGGTTGATCATAGTGATTCTGGTAATTATTTATGATTTCACGGCCGCTGATTTTTCATAGAAAACGAATTCAAAAGTGCTGCAAATTTAGTGTGTTTTATAGTGGACACTCGTAGTTTGGGCAAATGTGCTAAAGAGTGGGCATTTCTAAATTAAACCCAACCTAACTTTAGTTGATAAGTAAAGCAAGCGGCAGAAGCGTTGTTAGAAGACCTCACCAAGAAGGCAAATGTGGAGGACCTCACAGCCTATGCATTATTTGTTTTGATATTTATATTCTTACTATTTTTTCATCATTGAGTTCTGGTATAATAATAATTTTTATGGAAATTGATTTATTTTGGTAAACAATTAGGCGTCTAGGCGCGCATTACTTCATCTTTATTGGCGTGATGCGGCGGTATACTGCCAATCATCTCCGAACCCCCCCCCCTCTCCCCCAGGCATATTAAACTGTAAAAACAGTATTTTTTTTTTTTTTTTTTACAAGTTGCCTATAATGGCCCATAATATTTTTGGCTGCAGCTCTAGGTATATCTCGTTTTTTTCTAACAACTTTTCTTTGTAACGTTTCTGTCGCAAATAATTCGTTTTCTAGAAAATTACATTAATTTGTTAGATTATGGGCAATTGTAAAAAAAATTACTGAAAGAGAACTTACTATTATATGGTGTAATTTTAGTTTTTTGTGGATGTGAGGGCAGTGACCCACTCCATGTGGCTCGGAAACATATACTGACAACTGGCGTCGATCGAAAATGATTGGCTGTGTACTGCCGAATCACGCCGAGAAAGACATAGTGTGTGCCTAGTCACCTAATTATCTGCCAAGCGAAGCAATTTCCATAAAAATTATTATCATTCAGAACTCACTGATGAAAATATAGTAAGAATATAAACATCAAAAATATTTCGTTGGCTGTGGAGTCTTCCATATTAGCCGTCATTCTCAACAAAAGAATAAAATTTGAAACCGTAAGAGCTTGTTGGGTATGAAATATGTGGGTGGGAAGATGTGGATGTAGCCAAGTGTGCTTTTTGACCTATAGTAATGGTTAAGAACAAGGTGTCACTAAACTAGCGGTTCTGTGGCTAGGTTAGATTACATTATGTTTGGTTAGGTTGGATATCTAAATACAGGGATAAACGAAAATAAAATTTTGCCGAAGTTGACCCCATCATATTAAATAGAAAGTACGTACTTATATTGATATCTGGTACCAATGAAAGCATCATGGTGTGATTTTACATTTTTTGTGGAAGGTGAGAGTATGCTCGGACCGAGCAGGTCAGTTGTAAACAAACTGGTCAGACGACAACATGCGCTGACTCACTAGATTTTTCGGAGGAGTATTTATGGGAAATAATTTCTGAGGGAAATTTTCACTTGTTGCTACTATACAAAATCTAACTTGAAACTATGTTTTTCCGGTGGTTTATTATGTGTTATGAACGAATTTGACCTTCATTTTTGACACAAACCAAAAGTTTCTGAGATAACCCCCCCCCCCTCATCTCAGAATCTAGAGATTTGCTATAAAAATCATGGTACTGTAAAGTGTTCACAACTCCCTATAAACCATCATAAATTTTTTTTTAACCTAACCTAACCAGGGGGCTCCAGTCATTCAATGTTCTGGGTTTGTACCGCCACGTATGAACATACATAATAAAATGTTAAATATAGTATCTCGCTTATACGTAGTTAGTGCCAGAGATACCATAGAAGAAATGTCAAAATTACTGATTGTAGCTATAAATTTCCCGGGGTTCGTTTAGTTGCAACAAGTGAAATAATACCATTTCTTCACATACAAAGCATGTACAGTACAGACATCACTTAAGTGTCATATGATAATTTTTTGGCCTCTTTTAAAATACTTACTATACTAATAAGAACATCTTTGGAAAAAAATTTCAAAATTGAACAACTGGTCAGGTCAGGTTCTGTGTGTCGTATTGTTTTTTTTTACTTACTATCATGAATGAAATTGAGTTTTTTTTACATCATCATTAATTATGTACACAGCCGATGCTGGTGTGCGTGGCACTGACATCTTTGTTTATCGGAGCATCATCATGCATTGTCAAGGTTGTTGTCCAAGCATTTCATAGAGATAAATATTAACATTTCTGTTTCATATGACTAAGAAACAATAGCAGCAGCAGCTTTATAAAATGTAACTATAGAAAATAATAATAGCTTTCTTCCTAAGTTAATAATTATATCCCCGAAAAGAATGAATGACATTATTTACCCCTTTACTGTGGGATGGTGCTTTTAACATTTTAATTGGCTAATGCCAGATAATTTTATTCATCACAGGTGGTTAATAACAGCAGAAAGGTAAGATTTGCAATTTTCAACTTTTAACAATATGTACTGTATATTTATTAGTTTGGCAGTACACATAAACCAACAAAACAACCCACCTAACCTATGATTAAAGTTTATTGCTCTTATTATTGTTATTATTGTATGTTACTGTTTGGTTCATGTGGGCATATAGCAAGACAGACAAGATTTCATGTGGGGAAAGTTTGCTAGTAGATAAGCATTGCATATGTCACATGCAAGATGGCCATCATTGAAGAGGGTGTGTGACCAACACCTGTCATTGTTATTTACAGGACAAAAACTGGTAATAATGGAGCAGACGGCTAACACCAGAAGGAGTTGTTCGATTTCGTTCATTTTTTCCACAGATGTCCTTTGGATGATTGTAAGTAATAAAAATGATGCGACGACTTTTTATTTTAATTATAAGTATTTTTTGTTTTTTCTTATTCTGCAAACATAAATCACCTGCGGTGGGCAGGACATGAAGGATTAGGGAAATTGCCAGGAACACAAAAAAAACTGATCATATAACATTAAAAGGATGTGTCAGCATACTTTGTTTGCGAAGAAATTAATTATTTACCATAAATATTCCTAAAAAAAATATGCCGTGTCGGCGGCTCAGTGTGCTATTGTCTGCTCTTAAGTTTGTTTCAGTAGCTGATAGTACTCTCACATCCACAAAAAAAAAGTAAAATTACACCATGCCGCCTCAAGAAATCTACTTTCATTGATACCAGTTATCAAAGTGCAAGATCTTTCTGTTTAATATGCCAAAGGGGAGAGTTCTCCTAGGAAGTTAGGTAAAGTTTGGTGGGTTTCTTTGGTTAGTTCAGATCCTATTAGGTTCTATGCATTGTCGTATTGTTTTTATTACTTATTATCACCCAAAGAACATCTGTGGAAAAAATTAAACAACTCCTTTTGGTGTAAGCCGTCTGCTCCACCTTTACCCAAAAACCTGAACAGGAAAAGTTATATTCTTTCCCATTGTTTTTAGTCTTGAGGCAATAAAATTTTTTCTATGGGGATTATTCCTTGGGTGGCCACTGTTCTTAAATATTACCAGCTCTGTATTGAAGATACTGTAAAGCTAAAGTTTTGCAAACACCGGCAAACGACCCTAAATCATATGGTAGTGTAGGGATACAAGTCTAAATTGTATGTCAGTGTTGGGGGAATAATTGCCCAGTAGGTGAGTACAATGACCAGACTAGGTTTGGTTCTTTTAGTTATGTTTTATTTCCTCATTTCCCTCTCCTTTAAAGCACTGGTGGGGTCAAGATTGACAAGGGAAGAAAGGTCATAAATCAGTAATTATAGTTTCATTACCATCACTGTGTTCAGTATGAAAAAAAAATATATAAAAGATTGCTGTTTTTCGTGCCTTAACTGTTTTCAGGTGATTACCATGCAACTACCGAAGATAAAGTTTTCTTGCCTCATGAAAAGGCCAGAAAATTTTGAAATTACTGTAGTACTGTACAATTTTTACAATATTTTCTGTCCTCAACACTAATCTACAGTATGTCTAGTAATTCTGAGTTCCAGTGCCTTAACTCCTATTTTTAGATCCAGTATGTATCATGGAATCCATTCATAGACGGGAATTTTTTTTAATAGATAACTATCATTTTAGGGTAGGTTGGTTCATTATATGAATGAATATTCCCAGATAATTTGATATGCATTTATTTAGTAAAGGTTCATAATACATGAAGTGTCAAGACTTAATTTGAATGTGGTCCTAATGGCAAACAATCCCCACCACTCAATTACTTCTGGCAACTGCTGGTCAATACCCACCACCTCAATGATATAAAGAAAATATTCTGACACTTTATTTACTGAACTTAATAGGCTAATATAGTTTTCATCTATAATCAAATCATGTCTATGAAAGAAACGAGATAAACGTCCTGGAAGTACAGTACAGTGAGTTCTGCTATAACGCGAATTTGCTCTAACGCGATTTATGAATTAGGAACGATATTTGTATAACTCGAACGCTTGTTTGCTATAACGCGATTTTTCCTTACTATTTCTCCAATTTTGTGGTATTAACTGTGAATATGGTAAAGAAGAATATCTCCAAGAAGCGTTCTGGTGATAGAATTCCCGGTGATGATCGTAAAAGAAAGGATATAACACTTGAAGAGAAGCTCGATGTTATCAACCTCAAAATCACCCTTCTCCCCCATCAAGTTACATTCATATTTTTTCAAGGTAAAGTGTTACATTTACTGTATGATTTCATTATTAGATATGAATGTAACATTTATTTAGACTGTGCTATCCTTTGTGTTAGGCTAACTACTAAATTTTTTCGATTTCGAGTAATCTGCACCTAACCCTATTTTCTCCATAAGCCCTGTTATTTCTATTACGCGATTTTCTATAACACGATATTTTACAAGAACACAATTATCGCGTTATAGCAGAACTACCTGTATAGGATGTCTTAAACATCCTGGAAGTATAGGATGTCAGTTAAACATGCTGGAAGTTTTACCTGGCTACAATGCCATGATTAATCACTATTATATCAGTAAACACTAATAATAACGGTAAATCCAGTGAAATATGGCAGGGAGTGAGGAGAGTTACAACTGCAGATGACTCTCTAACTTGTGGTTACTCGCTCGAAATACATATCTTGTATGTAGTCTAATTTGATAACGGTGATGGGCACAGTGATATGTGTGTGAAGTGAACATATTTTTGACGTAGTGGGCTGTAACTACGTTGCGAACCCAGCCGTGCTCTGACTCCCTTCCCCAGTGTGAGGTCATGGCATACACTCAGCGCAGCAGCAGCCACACATCCCTGAGTCAGCTGGGTGGCTGCATGGCTGAACTGTGTCACACTGCCCAGAGGATGGTTTGAGTGTGGCAGGAGCTACTTTATGTACATGAAATATGTGCTACATAGTAGAGTAACATTGGATGAAGCCCTTTTCATATCTGACTCAGTTTTGAACCCTTTACCAATAGATAACTACTTATATGCTAAATTTTTACCATATACTTTATATATACAACCACTGTTAGCTGCTTCAGTTTTTTCTCCAAAACTAAATGCAGAATTCTCATAAAATGCTTCAAGATGGTTAATATCAACAATGTAGAGAAAAATCATGAATTCACTTAAATGTACTATACTGGAACATGGGCAGAGGTGGTTCATATTTATGCAATACAGATATTCTTGTGATGTTTTTTATTGTATTTTCTTGTAAATACAGTACCTGTATTGATGTTACAGGTCAGACCTACTATCTCAATGTATACACCAAAGAAAGCCAGTGGGATGCACCAACAGAGCCAGCCAAACCAGCAGGAGGGAGTGCCGGTGGTGGTCCTGACCGTGTGCAGTGCTCCCATCTGCTTGTGAAACATGCAGGTTCTCGTAGACCTTCTTCATGGCGCCAAGAGAATATTACTCTTTCTAAGGAAGAAGCTATGGACCTCCTAGAAGGTGAGAATTGATTACCTTCCCTTAGATTCTCTCATTTTCCCAGGTCTGCTTATTTTGATACCTCTTGAACAATTAAGGATTTAGGGATAGTGTGAAAAAATTTGTCATATTCTTGGGTACAATATTCACATAAAGTTAATAGATTTGTAAATGAAAGAAATGTTTGACAGTGAGCTGAATAGGGTTTGCTAAAGGGATATATAAACCTTTCAAAAGAATGGTAAATGTAATTGGAAAAAGAATTATTCTGAGGTGGATGATAGAAATAGGGGGGAATGAGGAGATGATCGGATGTGGTGAAAGATACACTGAAAATGGGGGGAATGGACATTTGGGAAGCAGCTGTGTTACATGGAGTTGTATGTGTGTGTGTGTGTGTGGGGGGGGGATCTCCCACCCTGTTGTTAACTTTTCACAATTCTGTTTAAGGCTGGCTTATGATGCATGATGTTGGGGTTAAAGGTTTGGACAAATAGCTAAAAAAGAAAAGGAATTAAATTTTGAGATAAAAGTAGCATTGTGTTAAAGTATACAGTACACTGCAATACATGCTTGAATATTGTATGAATACAAGTTTAAGGGGTTGAGTACTATACAATACTTGTGTTGGAAAATTAGTGGGCAAACAAGTAATAAAAATGAATACACTGATTTTCTTTGAGCTGCACATATGCCATTATGATTTATAACAGTTCAACTACTGTACAGTACAGTATCTCATTAATTACTGTCCTTTGAAGGTATCTGAAATGTCAAATAGGTTTATTACATTGTGTGTTTAATGTGTTTATTATTATTATTTTTTTACTGAAATCATGTATTTTTTCTGTTAAAGGATATCGTAAAGAAATCACATCAGGACAGTCATCATTTGCTGAATTGGCTGGCAGGGTGAGTTCAACTTTTTTTCGTATTTAAAGTACAGTGCATCATTTTTTTTTTTATTAATTCTGATACCTTTTTCTACACTATTCAGAATCTACAGTACAGTAGAGGTTACTCATAATGGGCCTGCTCTATACGTACACCATTATTGTGAACATCTGACGGGGTACCTATCTTTAAGGTGTGATGTCCAGAGATACTTCAACATAGTTTTAGAGCATGTAACAAAAAAGTAGCAATCAAGCCTTTTAACCAGACTCTAGGGACTTCTGACCCCTTGGGTTTCACTGTAGATTGGCAAGAAAATTGTCTATCCTATACTGTAATGGAAAACCCTTGGTAGCAACTACTACCTTTATGCCTCAGTAACTATTTTACAGCAACCAAACATACAAAGCATTTGTGATATTTCCTTGTAATTCCAGTAAATTACTCTATACAAAATCATTATTCATAATAGGAAAAGACCAAAGCTTCCCAGTCATAGATTTTTCTGCTCTTTCAGGTGTCAGACTGTAGCTCAGCCAAGCGTGGGGGAGACCTTGGACTCTTTGGAAGAGGTGCCATGCAGAAACCCTTTGAGGATGCTGCATTTGCTCTTAAAGTTGGAGAGCTGAGTCAGATGGTGGACACAGATTCTGGGGTACACATTATTCTTCGTACAGCATAGATTGGCTCCACAAACCTCCATTCTTCAGCTAGTGGCTTAAAACTTGATGTGATTAATTTCCTGTTTTGTCATATACTAGACACTCAGGAATTTATTTCTTTTAAGTGTTAAAATATATTTGCAGTTATACTAAGTTTCGTTACAGAAACTTTCATTGCCTCTTAGCTTTCAAATGCAGAATAGTTTAAAGTTAAAACAGTCATTTAAAAGGGATTAGGCAATGCTTCAGTATCAATAAAATATTACAATAAAATAATCTTGCCATTTAATTAACCTAATTTTTTTTTATTTCAGTCTTATAAATCACTTACTGAAAATTCTTTTATCACCAAGTACAATATATTATGATGATTGTTCATAATTAATATGATGATATCCTTTATTTTTAACCTTATTGATTTTAATTACACCATGTTTCAATACTGTACGTAATCACGTTTCCTTAAAAGTCGCCATGAGTTTTTAATCCCTGTAATAACTCTTCTAGAGAGAGTATGTGGGAGTTTTGCATTGGCATAAAATTTTGATCCATTTATAGTCTAGGATGGTCCGGCATTACTTTTGAATACAAAGATAGTAAAAAACTCCTTCAACTGCACAAAAATCACATTTGGTTCAGTCTGGATTACTATAGGCATAAAAATCCTACCTCCAGAAAGATTTAACATCCCTAAAAAAAGGTGCAACATAGCGACTAAGATGATTCCGAAACTATGTCATCTTGATTATCCGAGTAAACTGAAGGCCTGAGAACGAACAACCCTTCAGACAAGGCACGATAGGGCAAATCTCATTGAAACATTCAAAATACTAAAAAAGATGGAGAATGTGAACCCGAGCCACTTCTTTGTGATAACAAATACCACTGACAGGAGGAGACATAACTTTAAGTTTGCCAAATTATCATGCAGTATAAACATCAGGAAATTCTTCTTCAAACCTATGGAATGGTCTACCAGCCCAAGCTGTGGAATCACATATAGGACTGGGCTTCAAAATAGCCCCTTGACAAAATTATCAAGAACAGTGAAGGGATCCAACACAGGCCATTGGTCTCCTTCCTTTGGCATGGCCACCTCTACTAGGTATTCATTAGGTAAAAAGGTAAAATCATATACAGTACATTGTACACGTGTGTACAGTACATATACTGTATGTATATATATATATATATATATATATTTATATCTATATTTATATCTATATCTATATCTATATCTATATCATGGGGGGAGCGGATGTAGTACGTACATACAGTACGGGGCGATAAACACACCACTATCTAGCCTCCAGGAGTCCCTTCTCAGTTGCTGTTAAGAGACAATTATGCCCACCCCACCTGTCAGTTTTATATACACACTATGGAAATTTAAGTTTCATAATTGATTTACATTTTTTTTTTTTTTATTAAGACGCACAGTTCTTATTTCGGTACAGATGCGTCTTTAAATCAACACTTCAATATATAAACTGTATGTACACATCTGTACACAAACATTCTAATGCAGAAATATACATAATGACATACACAAGCACAAATACATATTAGGGAACATTTTCCATGTCGTTCCATTAGGCATGTTGTCATTATCATGAGAGAGATGAGGGTGTCCCTCTCAATAATTCCATCATCTATTTCCAATCATATTTCCACTGTACTTATAACCAGGATAGTTTCACCTTCTGTGGAGTGAAGTCAAAGGTTAAGTTCACAGCAGGCTTTGTGTACAGTGTACTCAGTTCTATATTTACATGTAGTGTAGCAAAGATCTGGCAACTGACCCCTTTACCAGCAGCTCTCTCACTCTCTACCCTGTAGTCATGAACATAACACACTAAGATTCCTTCTGTGACACTGTGATATCTAGTATGAAAACTGTAGATGTCAGGTTGGAAATATTTGAATTACATGATATTTTTGACTCGACAGGTTTCAAGTTTTTTGTCCACAACAAGATGTGGCAATAATTATCTTGCTAGAACGCTATCTGAACTTAACCTAAAATAACCTTGATCGCATTGTGGACAAAAACTTGATACCCACAAAACGATACTAAAATTAATTCGTGTTCTGGAATATTGAGACCTTCCATAACACCCTGTGGCTGTTTTGTAGGAGCCCAAAATGCGAATTTAGCTTTCTGGTAATAATATTTTGTCCAGAACACATTGTTGTTGTTTTTTCGCTCAGTGAGCGAATTCGGTCTTTCAGCCCAACATATATATCACTCACTTTCAATATTATCCTTCTTCTTCATTAGTTGTTTATCGATACATATGGTGGCTGTTGAGCTATTCTTGGTCAAAATGGCTTATTGTTTACCATTGTAAGTATACCTGTCTATATCTGCCCTATATACAGTCCCCTTCACTAGTGCATTTACAGGGGCTCCTCATATAAACATTCCACCAATCATTTACTGTGACATTTGTTTTAATTTAATTCCATAGAATGTTTACTATTGTGGGTTTCCTTCTGTTGAATATAAACAAACACAGGGCTGCCACACTGCACAAAACCTGACGTGCCCCTGGAAACACACAAGTGAAAGGGACTGTATATACCTGCACAGTGTTTGTATACCTGCACTCTTTCTATGCAGTATATACCTGCACTGTCTATGTACAGTATGTGATCTCTTTATCAATCAATGTAAGATTTCAGTGACTGTGTCACTTTTAATTCCGTTTTAAATAAATGGAGAAAGGTTATAAGAGTATCAATCTCTCCCTTTGTATTGAGCAAAGTTTGACTTAAATAAAGTAAGTGAAAATACCCATTGACTAATTATAAACAAGTGAACATATGTGAATAGGAACCTGACTGTTGAAAGACAGTACTGTATTTATAAGTGCATTCATGATTATGTGGTAAGTCAGTCAGAGGAAGGACTAACAATTACTACTTATTCTCAGTGAGAAGTAACCTCCCTCTTACACATCTTCCATTCCTACCATCTGTGTGATGTAATGAATTAATGATTAGTGCACCAATTATCATAGATTCCTCCACCCCTTCCGTTATTATTCCTCTCTTTCTTCCCTCCCTCTTCAGTTACCAGGGAAGGAGGACAGGGAACCCTTGGGGGGAAACTAACTGCAGGTATCCCCCACCTCCTTCGCTCCCCTCATTCCTCCCTCTCCTACATACGTCCTCCTTCTTCTGTCTCCCTCTCTCTACGATAGAAGGAAGGAATAAAAATAAATAGAAAAGTGGATTTCAGAATTAAACAGTAATAAATAGATAATTAAAGAACAAAAGCTTAGAGGTTACATCCATCACAGCATCTCGTATAATGTTCTCTAGTACTTTACACACTATGCTGGTCAAGCTCATCGGCCCATAATCATTTGTGGAGGGACGATCTCCCTGTTTGAATATTGCACAAACATATATAATTTTTCAGTCGTTGGGGATCTTTTACTCGTCCATGCATCTGCAGAACAGGATGTTAAGGGGCCCAGGTAGTTATTTGCGCAACTCTCTTAACACTATGGGATTCACGCTGTCAGAGCCAGGGCTTGCATGAACCTTTAGCTTTGGCAATTTGTTTCTAATACACTCCTTTGAGAACTCAATGTGCTCCAGCAGCAAAAGATATTACGGACTGTCTCTCTAAGTACTGACAGACGGTAAGTGGGGGTAGACTGGCAGCGGGAACGTGTTAGTCTAGGTCCCCGACGCCATGTTGGTGCAGGAAGACGTGGACGGTGTGAGCGTGCGGGTTAACCACCAACAGGAGGATGTTTTGGGAGTGAGTAGGATCCTCGGGGACCCACGCCCCACACGCCGCCTTCACCCTTATCTGGGCGGCCTTTGACTTCACAACAATGCGCCCATTCTCAATTATGGGTCTGAGGAAGAGAGGAAAGGGGTGGGCACTTTTACTTTTAATTTATTCTCTTCGCCACTGATCAGCTCGTTAGCCACTTGGGCGGTCAGTTACGTCTCTGTTATGCACTGTTGGTAAGTACTGTACTGGGCATGTACTGGCTCCTGAATGTATTTGTACCTGCTCCAGTGTTGATCAAGTCTATTCTTGAAACAGCTCACACTCAGTGCCATCACAACACTGCCTGCCAGATTACCGTATTCCAAGAGTTTACAATTCTCACTCAAAAAAGTTTGCCTTCACAATTTTCTGGACTTGTGGCTTCTTCAACCTTGAGCTGTGACCCTTTGAGGCGAGCGTCTGCTAGCTCCAGGTATGGACACTCAACTGAGTAGTGCTCTCTTAGATGTTTATAAACTTCAATTAGGTTCCCCTTGTCCATTTATAATATAAGCTAGGTAGTTGCAGGTGTTCTAATCTCTCTGGGTAACTAAGGTGCCGTAGTGCTGACACAAGTCTGGTGGCCCTCCTTTAAACATTTCCAATCAAGTGACAGTCTCTAGCATATCTCGGGGACCAGAACAGAGTGACAGTACTCCAGATGGGAAGCACCTCACTCTTAAAGATCGTTACGAAGGACGGACCGTCTAGATATCTGAACGACATTCTTATAAGACCTAGTAGTTTTGTTGCCTGATTCACCTTCTCACACTGGGTCGAGTACGGTAAGTTCATTGTCAACATGCACACCCAGGTCATTTTCAAATTCGGCCTCTATTAATGCTGTTTCTTCGTCCCGCTGGGCTATGCAATACGCCTCCTTATTGTTGGTATGACCTACATGCATCCTCTTACACTTCGTGATATTGAATGCTCAATCTTATCAGACATTTCTTTGATGACTTTTGAAGCTCACAGAGATCTTTCTGCAGCTCTTCACAGTCTGTTTGGTTCTTAGTTTCCCAGAATAACTTGGCACACAGTAGAAAGTCTTGGCAAAATCAAGACATATGAGTATATTGTCAATATTGCCACCCTGTTCCAGCATTTTAGTTCAAACATCCAGCACCTTAAATAATTGTGTCAAGCTGGAGCGACCCAGCATAAATCCGTTTTGGCAGTCCTTTACAAAGTTGTTTCATAATAGATGTTCCAGCATGGCATCTCTTATATAATGCTCTCTTGTACTTTACACACTATGCTGGACATTGCTGGTCAGGCTCACTAGTCTATAATTATTCGTGGGGTGGCAATCACCCTGCTTGAATATAGGACTTACCTAAGCCATTTTCAAGTCACTGGGGACCTTTTGCTCACCCTGACATTTACAGAACAAGATCTTAAGGGGCTCAGTAAGCTCGTTGCACAACTCTCTAACACTGAGATGTACCATGCCAGGCTGGGACTCTGATGAACCTTTAGCTGTGACAGCTTATTTTGAGAACATGATGTGGGTCAGCGCTGTGTCAAACCGTCTTTCCTCAAATGCAGGAGTATCGTTTGCATCCTCTCTTGTGAACACCGAGGTCACAGCTCAAGGTTGAAAAAACCGCAAGTTCAGAAAACTGTGAGTGCAAACTTTTTCAGAGTGAGAGTTGTGAACTCTTGGAACGATCTGCCAAAGAGTGTTGTGACGGCACCTAGTTTTTGAGCTGTTTCAAGACCAGACTTGACAAGCACTGGAGCAGGTTCAGATATATTAAGGAGCCAGTGCATGCCCAGTACTTGCCAACAGTGCATAGCAGAGACGTGACCGACCACCCAAGCAGTTAATGAGCTGATCAGTGGCGAAGAGGATAAAAGTAAAAAAGTAAAGTTCAATACTGTCGGACCCTTCACCAAAGAAAACAACGACATTTTAGGACTAACTCATATCATGTCTCAAAATGTAGTGTTATTACTGACTACTCATACTTAATAGTGATTTTGTTCAATGATTATCTACAGTATTAGTATACAGTACAGTATTCACTTTAATAAGAAAATGGAGAGAGCTTACGTGACGAGGTCTTTATAGAGGGCCCTGGTGACGACTAGGTATTGGTGAATATTATCCTCGAACTGGCAGCACTCACCCCCCAGAGCCACCAGACGGAAGAGTCTCAGCAGCAGTTGTTGACGGTCTGCTTCCTTCAACACATCCCACAGCTCCCCGCCCTCATCCACCAAAACCTGACCATGACGAATTTACGGTAAACTTAAAAGTGTCATGGTTATCAATGTCACTGCCATAACCTACCATAATTTAAAAAAATAATGACTATATAATTACTAATTTCATATACCCATTCTCCATTATTTCGATTTTTTATCCATCGAGTGAAATTTAATCAATTTATGGAGAGCACTAAAAGGCATGCATACCCCATGAGACAGCATTATTTAAGAATGACTAAGGTAATATGATAATAAGATCAGGTGGATGAATCAGAGATCTAGGAAAGCCTGCAAGAGAAAATACCAGATGTGGAAGAAATATCGGAGCAGAGGGCATCATGTGGATTATGTAGTCCAGTACAGTACACACAAGAGCCCTAAATTTGGTTACAAATGTATTCAACCATTCTATCATAAGTAAGTGCACTTACTGATCTGATTGTGACCTAAAATCTGTCTTCCTGGTTCTGATATATTTGAACGTGAGTAAAAAAAAATTCTGAGCCTTTACCTAAGTCCATTGGTAAACTTTCTTATTGTCTTTCTTGGACACATATTGTTTGTAGTTATAATCATTTAAATATCAAGATCAAAGGTCATTCGATCAAATGACCTTCCAGATTTCATGAATTGATACCAACCCTCAATGGTTCTGGGGGATTTCATTTACCCACAGCCATAAAATTCTGTACAGTATTTAGCTACCGGTAGTTTCGATCAATTTAATGATTTTTGTTTTTGTTTTTAATTTTAACAAATAAAATGTGATTGATCTATTAGTACAGTAGCCGTGGACAGTACTCGTGGTATAAGTTACCTTCTTGAGGTTGTCGTCGAGGACAAGGTCGTGGTGATATTGTTCAGGGCAGCGGACGATCTCACCGTCGTCTTTCACCACCTCAGTCTCGTACAGCCGCCGGAACACATCCATGGAGGTGAGGGAGCAAGGCACTTCCTCCACACACTCCACCCGTGCGCCGTACCCTACCAGTTAATATATTTGGTAGTGTTTAGAGTTCTGTCAACAGACTCACACCAGGTATACCACTCTATTGACAGATTCTTAGCACTTGGACGTCTCGAGATTTAGGTAACCTCTAACTTAACACTACCTTTACCTAATCTAACTAGTAACCTTTAACTTAACAATAACGTAAACTAACCTAACTAATACCTAACCTTAACCTAAGCTGGCTTAACCCAATTTAAGGAACCGAATTTATCCTTTACATAATCTAACCTGAAACTCGTCAACGTTAAAATGTCTTACAGAGATACACTGAACATACACAGTGAAGTCATGTGCAAGCAAACAGAGGCCACGAGTGAAGGACGAGGTAATGGTCCAGCAGATAAGTTTAAAAATATGAAAGAATTTTGACTTTAATCTTAAAAGGATGATATTTGGTGCAGAGCCAGGGAAGGTATAAATGAAGATATTTGGTTATAGGAACACTTGAGATTCTTTAGTGTCCCTATGGCCAATTCCTGGATCTGTGCCAAATTCCATGCTTTTATCATTAGTCACAATTCTTTCACATACTGTATTTGCAATAGCTGAAGCATCGACGGAATCAAGAACTTAGGGCACCGATGGAGCTGAGACCTTCCTACCTTCAGAATCCTTAAACCGAAATCCAGTTTTGCAGTGATAACTCCTTTCTGAGACCTTACATAGATTTTAACCTGCCCTATACAGGTGTGATGAGAGGGAGGGGTGGCACTGCCCTATACAGGTGTGATGAGAGGGAGGGGTGGCACTGCCCTATACAGGTGTGATGAGAGGGAGGGGTGGCACTGCCCTATACAGGTGTGATGAGAGGGAGGGGTGGCACTGCCCTATACAGGTGTGATGAGAAGGGGTGGCAGGGTGTGATGAGAGGGAGGGGTGGCACTGCCCTATACAGGTGTGATGAGAGGGAAGGGTGTGACACTGCCCTATACAGGTGTGATGAGAGAAGGGTGACTGCCCTATACAGGTGTGATGCACTGCCCTATACAGGTGTGATGAGAGGAAGGAGTGACACTGCCCTATACAGATGTGATGAGAGGGAGGTGGCACTGCCCAAGGTGTGTGAAGGGAGGGTGGCACTGCCTTACAAGTGTGATGAGAGGGAGGGCACTGCCTTACAGGTGTGATATGAGGGAGGTGGCACTGCCTTACAAGTGTGATGAGAGGGAGGTGGCACTGTGTGATGAGAGGGGAGGGGGATGAGAGAGTGGCACTGCCTTTGAGGTGTGTGTGACGAGAGGGGAGGGCACTGCCCTATGTGTGATGAGAGAGGGTGGCATTGCTTACAGGTGTGACGAGGGCACCCTATAAAGTGTGATGAGAGGGGAGGTGGCACTGCCCCAAGGTGATGAGAGGGAGGGGTGGCTGCCTTACAGGTGTGATGAGGAGGGGGTGGCACTGCTCACAGGTGTGACGAGAGGGGTGGGTGGCACTGCCCTATACAGGTGTGATGAGAGGAAGGAATGGCACTGCCTTACAGGTGTGACGAGAGGGAGGGGTGGCACTGCCTTACAGGTGTGACGAGAGGGAGGGTGGCGCTGCCTTACAGGTGTGACGAGAGGGAGGGGTGGCACTGCCTTACAGGTGTGACGAATGGGAAGAGTGGCACTGCCTTACAGGTGTGACGAGAGGGAGGGGTGGCACTGACCGAGTGGCTCCTTGTGATGTCCTCGCCACACCTCCAGGGAAGACGCCACCGCCGGGCTCTTGATGAAGTTCTGTAACATCGGACAAAATAGTTGTGCCATTGGAATAAATTAAATTTAATTGTCTCAACTTAAACAAGCTTGGTTGAATATACAAAGCCATTCGTCATAATTACAATCCGTCGAAAACTTGAAGCTATGCCTAGGAAGGAAAACTAAGCGTTGTGGTTCCTAATATGAACGATTGCTGGTATCAAGACTTATAAGGTAGAATAAGTACTTTTTTATTCATTGTGACATCGAGCGATCTCAAAAAAGTAACTTATTTGTTTTGTTTTAAAATTATAAGAAAAATTTGTTTTTCGTTGTTTTAGCTACACGACTTCCTTTATTTAATTTTCACTTGGAGTGCGTCACAGACTTTGTCCGAATCTCCATAGGTGTGTAAGTGATATGAGACTTAGCTGTCTTTTTTTTTGGGGGATTAGCCCACCCGTGCACAGGTCACTGACTCCACATCAGGGCCTGGGGGCGAAAATGTAATAATAATAATAATAACACTGTAATAATAATAATAATGATAATGATAATAAATAACCACAAAGAAACAATTGAGACCCTGCAATTGTGTGTAAATGAAGCAGAAAGTCAAATCAGCAACTTGAGACTTGGTCACAATTTTCTTGATGCCATATGGTAGCATACCATTAGACAACACATTATGCTTCCAATATCTTCCCAGGTGGTAGTATTGTGGGGTATGGGATATTGGGTTTACACTCAGGATGGGATGGAGAAAGGAAACTCACAATGTGCTCTCTGTATACATATTGTATTGGATGTACAGTGCAGCTTGGTGCTGGGAAGTGGCGGCGTGGTTACAAGCGTGATGTAGAGAGAGCTGGTTGGTGAGGATGCTCAGAGGAGGACAAGCTTGTGGGTCGCCGGCGGGAGCGAGGGCCGCCAGGCAGGAGGAGGAGGAGGAGGTGTTGCTGGCTGGTTGGTGTAGGTAGAAAGCGATAGGTCGGTACGGTACGGAGTCATTAGTTATGAGGTGAAAGAAGATTATTAAAGGTTGAAGAAAAAGTGGTGAAACTGAAATACAGTAGGAGTAGAAAGAATCTGGGCTCAACCAGATCGCCACGAGGTCAGGTCTTATATAGCTGGGGTAGGCGTGGCTTAATAGTTGACCTCCGTCATGTAAGGCGGCGCTAGTTGACCTAGACCATAAGGCATACTCTGGGGAATTCGCGGGGTCGGCTACTCAGCGACAAGCGTTTGTAGGGGAGGAATCCACTACAGTACCGCCCTGTTTGGTAGCTGCCTACTACCGACAGTGATGGCCTAAATATGACAGGCAAAAGAAAATTCATTGAGCTTTTTCACATAGAATTTCACACAGTAATTAGATGTGTTTCCCCTTCATAATTATGATACAAATACCTAACACTCGGGTTGTAGTGGATTCTTCCCCTACAAACGCTTGTCGCTGAGTAGCCGACCCCGCGAATTCCCCAGTGTATGCCTCGTGGTCTAGGTCAACTAGCGCCGCCTTACATGACGGAGGTCAACTATTAAGCCACGCCTACCCCAGCTATATAAGACCTCACCTCGTGGTGACCACTCTCTTTTCTACCTACACCAACCAGCAAGCAACACCACCTCCTCCTCCTGCCTGGCGGCCCTCCCTCCCGCCGGCGACCCACAAGCTGGTCCTCCTCTGAGCATCCTCACCAACCAGCTCTCTCTACATCACGCTTGTAACCACGCTGCCACTTCCCAGCACCAAGCTGCACTGTACATCCAATATAATATGTATACAGAGAGCACATTGTGAGTTTCCTTTCTCCATCCCATCCTGAGAGAGAACAAACATCTCGTACCCCACAGGGTAACTAACCTCTGTGAATTGCTCCAGCTGATACCCACTAAACTCTTGATCAAAGACGTACGCCTGACAGGACAGCCGCCCTAGCATGGACCTGGAAGCAAGATGCATACTTTTAACCGTTGCAAATATTTTCATAACAACACATAAACAAACTGTTAATTTTATATTAAACACTTTTCTCACTGACGAATTAAATAAATGGGTGCCTACATTTCCCATAAGAAAAAGAAGACAGTGAGGCACATATAAATATGTAACACGTAACAGGACTACTTTTTATTGTACATGTAATGAAGGTGTAGTGGAATTCTCCCCTACAAACGCTGTTTGTCGCTGCCTAGCCGACCCCATCAATTCCCCAGTGTATGCCTCGTGGTCTAGGTCAACCAGCGCCGCCATACACCACGGAGCGGGGGTCAACTGCTAAGCCACGCCTACCCCCGCTATTTAAGACCTGACCTCGTGGTGATCTGCCTCTCTTTCTACCTACAGCCGCAGCCAGCAACACCTCCTCCTCTGCCGCTGCCTGGCGGCCTTCGCTCCTCCTCCGCCTGCCTGGCGGTCCTCTCTCCCGCTGGCGAGCATGGCGACCCACAAGCTGTCCTTCTCTGAGCGTCCTCACCAACCAGCTCTCTACATCACGCTTGTAACCATGCTGCCTTCCCAGCACCAAGCTGCATTGTACATCCAATACAACATGTATAGAGAGAGCACATTGTGAGTTTCCTTTCTCCATTCCATCCTGAGTGTGAACCAAACATCTCATACCCCACAAAGGTTTGAGACAGGAGAGCTGGGGATCGAATGGGCACTGAGCAAAAGTGGGTATGCCTTTGTGGATTTTGGAGAGATGAAAACGAATATAACCATAAAAACAATTGATTGGCTACAGTTTCCAAGAAAATTAAATTTTCATATTTTGTATATATGTATATACATTATATTAGTAACGTATAATGGTCACTTAGTTATCTTGAATAAACCTGACGCTTTTTTGCTTGTCTCTTGTATTCTGGTTCTGGGACATCTCTTGTTACTGTCCAGCAGTTGTGTGCTAACATTGATGGGCTCCACGTTCCTTGGTAACGTTTCTTTATCGTTAAGATGTCCTGGTGGAAACGTTCACCATGTTCATCGCTGACTGCTCCGCAGTTGGCCGGAAAAAATTCAGATGAGAATGGAGAAAATGTATCTTCAAATAAAAGTGGCTGCCATTATCCGGAAAGCATTCCACGCTGTCTTGTCACCACTCCGGATACTTTTTTACCGACTTACTTTTATCCTCTTCATCACTGATCGGCTCGTTAGCCGCTTGGGCGATCGATCACGTCTCCTTGTCAACATACACACCTAGGTCCTTCTCACATTCAGTCTCAAAGAGTGCAGTTTCTTCAATCCGTTGGGACATATGATACGCCTCCTTCCCGTCGGTACGCACCAGGTTCATCCTTTTATACTTCATGAATCTCAACAACCATTTCTTCGACCATTCTTGGAGCCCAAAGAGGTCCTTCTGCAGCTCTTCATAGTCCGTTTGGTCACGGTCAAACTCAGCTCTGCGGAGCTTGCGGACCTGTCGACCAACGAAAACACCCTCCATGATTTTTACTTCACTGAGCTTTGGAATTTACCACCGAGGTACTTAAAGGCTGCCCCCGTTTTATCCATAGCCTTGACAAAATTCATCATAAGGCCCAGTTTGATGTGTAAGGGTGGTAACAAAATCTTGCTCGATTCAACAAGTGGGGGTTACTGAACATTTTTCGTTCCAGGTTCCAATGAGCGTCGTAGTGACCAGTCCCTCTTGATGTAATGGGAAGTCCTTACCTGACTATATCATTCACACAGAAAACAGCAATACTAAGTGTAGTCCGGCTGCAGTCCAAGCAAGATAGCAACAACGTTCAGGTCGCCACAAAGCTGCCACTGATGTTTGTTATAGTCAAACAGTTCAAAAGTTGTTTCATGTTGTCGTATGTTTCCTTCATGTGGACAGCATGACCAACTGGTATTGATGGCAACACGTTGCCAACATGCAACAAAACAGCTTTTAGACTCAACTTCGATGAATCAATGAGCAGTCTCCACTCATCAGTATTATGAATAATGCTGAGGGCTGCCACCAGACTATCGATGCCATTGCAGGCTACAAGGTCAGCTCCATGAAGAAGAATGGGGCGAAATCTTTTTGACGGTCACGAAAATTACACACTAACATTTTCAGCAGCGAGATTCCACTGCTGCGGTCTAGAGCCCAACTGTTCTGCCTTACTCTATGGCAATTCCAGATCTCTGACAAGGTCGTTTAGTTCATTCTAAGTTAATCTTGAGCGGTTCAGAAGATGTCAAGTTAAGAACGAAATCAGGGTCTTGCGAAGTTGAAGGATCACAGGTTCCGTCATCCTATTCGTCCTCTGACTCCAGGGGGAATGAGTCTGGGGGTTCAGGAATGCGTCGTCCTTCGCCGTGAGGTACCGGGCGTACAGCAGATGGATATTGTAAAGTCCACTTTTTCTTCTTGCAAATACCTTTCCTAACTGGAGGCACCAAGCAGTACTAACAATTGCTTACGTGATCTGTTAGCTCCCTCCACACAATCGACACTGCAAAAGGCATAGCTTTCCTTTTCCGATTCAACCACTGGCGAAGGTGTGGGGTATGGGTTGTTTGGTTCACACTCAGGATGGGATGGAGAAAGGAAACTCACAATGTGCTCTCTGTATACATGTTGTATTGGATGTACAATGCAGCTTGGTGCTGGGAAGTGGCAGCGTGGTTACAAGCGTGATGTAGAGAGAGCTGGTTGGTGAGGGTGCTCAGAGGAGGACAGCTTGTGGGTCGCCAGCGGGAGCGAGGACCGTCAGGCAGGCGGAGGAGGAGGAGGTGTTGCTGGCTGGTTGGTGTAGGTAGAAAGAGAGAGATCACCACGAGGTCAGGTCTTAAATAGCGGGGGGTAGGCGTGGCTTAATAGTTGACCTCCGTGATGTATGGCGGCGCTGGTTGACCTAGACCACGAGGCATACATTGGGGAATTCACGGGGTCGGCTACTCAGCGACAAACAGCGTTTGTAGGGGAGAAATCCACTAGAAAGGTTCGTTGCACAAGTATTGTAGCGTATGTGAGGGGCGCAGCTCTTGTCATCTCCAATCTTACAGCCAAAATAAAGCTTTCCTAATCAATGCAATTATGGCACGCTTTTGTGATACAAAAGTCAATTATCCACAAACAAAACAAAAGTTATCTGCCCTGTTCACACAATTACGAGGCAATTTGGTTCAAATTTGGCTAAAAAATCATCAATGTCAAAGCAAACACTAAAGAGACTTTATGAAAGGAGCATGACAACTATGCACTGTATGACTTCCAGGAATCAATTGATGCAATTCAGTAAGTAGGGTGATATAATACCTGACTTCTGATTGTATCATCCACTCCCTGTCCTCAAGGTTGCCAAAAACCAAACAGTGCCAAAATCAATTTAAGTCGCACAATTGCCCCCCCCCCCCAAAAGGTTATTCACCTCCACCCCCTTCCTTTTCTCAAGGATACTGGCTACGGGCCTAATCCCGCAACTTCATCAATATCAATTGACAATTTCAAGCATCATTTTTGTACTCAGCGCCCCTAAATTAGTAAAGATTGACTACTCTCATTTCCGAAGCATTTTGCATGTAGACCAGTGTAATGTGACCTGTCAGGCAGATGAGATATGTTACAAGGAGAATGCTGTATTCCTACCATTTTCGGAGCATATGCTGCATTGAAGGATCCTCCAAAGTAAGGAATTTCTTATCTGGTAAATATGTAAAAGTGTGTACCATTATTGTCCGGTTATCGTCAGGTCAGACACTACTCCTCGGACCAGCGTCCCCTTGTTGCCATGGTGACCGGTAAGGGTAAAACACCTTTTAAAAATTTATATAATAATTTCGTATATTTTATCATATCAAACAGTAGCTTCTGGAGTTATAAAATAATAATATGAATTAGATAAATAAGAAATACACCATACATTCAATAAAATGATTATTTAAAATATGTTTAGACGGAATATGACAAGGAAAAAGTCAATGGTCGTGCTGGATACCAACCAATGAGAACTCACTTCATGTGTCACTGACCAATCACAACACAGAGAGACACAGAAGACGCTGTTGTGGTCGTGAACCAAGAGAGTCACAACAATCGGGGCAGCTCAGTGCAGGCCATCAATGTTTTTTCCTCAAAATGAGGATCAAACTAGACCTTAGCGAATTTTTAGAAGATGAGAGAAAATTCTCTGTGGTAAACGTAAACTTGAATGAGTCCAAGACAGTGGAAGACGTCTTGAACAAGATCTGCAGTCGGTTTAATGTTTCACTGGCGCAGGAAGACGCAGGTGAGAGAAGCATGAACTGTGTGATGCTTTACCCACAGTGTTGATGTCTTAGAGAAAATTAATACATTTGTGATTGATTTATTATCTTTAGGTTCTTCAACATTGACTGTTGTAAAGTTATGTGCATTTCATAATTTCCAGTTTAAGGTGATGTAAGAGAGCAGCTTCTCACATAGGAGCTTCACTTTGACGAGATAAATTAGTGTAACTTGGATAGAAACCAGTGTAACAGTCTGTAATTTTAACTAATCTAAAATTATACTTTTAATAGCTCTTCAGTCCATAAAAAGGTTATAATTTCACTTATTGCCACCAAATGAATCTCGGGAATTTTATAGTTGCAGTTAGTAGTTTTGACAATTCTGACACTTTTCTTCCATGGCGTTTCTGGCGAAAATTACATTTAAGCGAGATATTTAACATTATATCATGTATGTTTGTATGTGGCAGTACACCCAGAACATGAAACATCTGTGGAGCTGTCCCGTGTAAGTTAGGTTGGTAAATATTTGTCCATTGGCTGTCCTCAGGTTTTGATACAAAAATATTAGTGGTCAATTTATAGTATCACACCTGTCCTTATGATGAGTTTCGAACGAATTTGATATTCATTTCCACTGGAAATCACGTGTTTTTTTTAGATACCTCTATAAAAATAGAAATATGAAACTCCATGTTAGACCTCAAACAAATTTTTACCTATATTTTTGTTAGTAGTTTCCATGCACAAGAGAAATGTGGTTAGGTATGTTTATAGCTACACAACGATCGACTCACTGCAAAATAAATGCCAAATGCTGCCAAATATAGTCACACACACACAAAACATACAAATAAATAATAATGGGGATATCCTCTCACAAATAATAAGAAACAAGACAACAAAAGTATTGAAATGTAGAAAAAATGGGAGAGTCTACCCTCATTTCAACTCTTTGTTATTGAAGTTGGGATGGTTGGACTGTCATATGGTAATTTTTTCCTCATAAAAATTAGTCTCTAGAACGAATGGCATCCGAGCGCCAACTGGGTTGATACATAGATTAAACATAAAAAATTTCTTTCATCGCCATCTAGCCAACCCAACATGAAGGATGTCGGTAATTGTGGTGTAATACTGCGCTTTTTTTTCACAATATGTATGTCGGATGGTGTGTGCATGTAAATGAGTAAAAAGAAATGAAGAATTTATGTACAGTATATCTACCCGAAAATACGAGTGGAAAAAACCATAACACCTCACAGCTTGGTCCAGTAGCCTGGAGGTTACACTAATGAGCTAACCTAGCTACAGTGCCATGATTAAACACTATTCTATCAGTAAACATTAATAATAACAGTAAATCCAGTGAAATATGGCAGGAAGTGAAGAGAGTTACAATTGCAAACAATGCTCTAACTAGCAGTCACTCACCCCCGTTGCCAGGCGTATGTATGGGAGAAATACATGACCTTCTTTTCTCTCTTCACTTGTTTGGGCACCTTCCCATGGCTGGATGAAGGTGGTTGAGGGCATTTGAGAGCCATCACAAGCACAAGGAGCACAGTTGTTAAGAGAGCAGAGTAGCACATGCACGAAACAGACAAGTGTTTAACCTGGACTGTCACTGAGGCGGAGTGAGTGCTATTGGCCCAGCCACCTGGGACAAGAGAGACACCTTGTAGGATGCCATAAAACTAAAAGGGCTCCCCGTCCCTGTCGTGAAAATGCCGCCAACTTTAAAACTACCTGCACACATTCTTGGGTACATCCAGGATGTCATTCGCGAATAATTGAAGACCGTGAACTAGACATTTATATCAAGGAAGTATTATGTAACATTTAATATCATTTGGAATGGTACGTAACACGGCGTTAGTAAGAACATATGAGAATATTACCAAGATTATCACTTCATTATTTATTTGTTATTTATTTATAGTGTTTCACATTTATATTATAAGTACTGTATATAGTACATATTTTAATATGATAAGTGGGAGAAGTAATATAATATGGGTTGTATTATGGTGAAACAAGGGAACATATATAGTCAGGATCATGTCTTGACGGCAAGTAAATAATTATTGCAATAGTAATTTTTATCTATCTACGTGACAATAGTATATGATATAACGGTTTTGGTCGTACAATAAAAGTAAGAGTATAAAGTAAGTGTTACAAAAATTTAGCATTTGTGTTAAATTTTCTTCAAGTAAGTCATTGTCCGCACAACTCTCTTCTGTGCAGTGATCAGGGGTTATGTTTTTGTGGAGCCAGAGGTCCCCCTTAGTGCGAGACAGTGTATCAAGTGTTGGTAAACAAGATCATAATAGATTTCTTTTATTGCTACAAGAATAAGTGACTGATGAGTGTGATACAGGATACTGCACTGTTTATTGACTTTACTGTGAATGGCTAGTATGTGATTTCTCCAGTTTATTTTATCATCAACAATAACCCCATGGAATTTAGTATTTTATTCACGTTTGAGGACTATACTACCAAGGTACAGGGGGTCCAGCTCTGGAGATAAGTTTTTCATTCTGTGAAAGATTGTGTAGAGTGGGGTTTTTTTTTTAGGTTTAAGGTCAGTTTATTACATATTACCCAGATCCTGACTTTAGTAAATTCATTGTTCATAGGGATATACAGTAGCTATTAGATTAACAATTAGTCAAGGAACCCTCTGCAGCTTGTTGTATAGGGTCAAAGTAGAAATACAGTTCCTACAGAATCTTGGTCTCAAGACTCATACTGTAGTTATACAGTGCAGTATAGAGTCAATACTATGTATAGGTTCATCCAAGTTTTTCAGTAGTGGACCACATGATCAAAAATCCAAATGAGTGCCAAAACCTACGGCCCTCTCAGTACACTGCTAAACAATTAATTACATTAAGTTTCATGATCAAGCCTGCTAGTACGACACCTAGCGGCAGTCATTTACACAGAGGTTGTTGGAAGTGGCAAGTAGGAGATTACCGTTTGGCCATTAGGCATTATGCCATTATGGTTAGGTCTTTCTGGCCTACTTGTTGATGTGTGCTTATAAGAAAAAAAATTTGTCTAAAAATCTCAGGTGGGCCATACCCCAGTGTTGGGTGGGCTGCACGTTGGACGCCCCTGGTGTGCTGTACATTATTAATCTGAGACCCAGATTCTGTTATCCTCTTGCTTTCTCCGTTATACTTGAAGTTTTTTAAGTTCATTGAGTGGCAGATATTAATGTGGTGCTCTTTGACTTCAGGTAACATGTTTTGTATACAGTAAACTCTTGCCATTCGCGATGGTTAAGTTCCAAGAAATGGTACGAATTGTCAAAACCGCGAATAGCAACTTATATAATACCTTAGTGCACTAATATATACCTACCCGGTATACTGTGTATGAAAAACTTAAGTCACCATTACTTACATTCAAATGTGGAAGTTTGGATCGGGAGGTGGGTGGTGAGGTGGCTGGGAGGAGGAGGGTGGAGCGACGGCGGTTGCAGCTGGTTCTTTCTTGAAAACATCATGATTGTTAGTTGTTTCTTTGTTTTGAGGTCTTTCAACATTTCCTGGGAGGGAAACAATACTTGGTTGATTCCTCGGACAGTCTTAAGACTCCATTCCATGGAAGAGTCATGGTCGACAAATAAATCATTTCCCATCATTTCCTGTCGAAATAGTTCACCAAAATTGTCCAAGTCCCAACCTTCTTGTTGCAATTTCATAATTTCTTCATCTTCCTTGGCACTTTTTACCATCTCCTTCAAATCCTCTTCTGTCAGTTCCTCTCCATGCCCATCAATCAGCTCTTCCACATCTTCAGCAGCCATGTCCACAAACCCCTCACCACCCAACTGACGTGCTACACTCAGTATCATTCACATCCTTTACTGTGGACGGAAATCCATGGAAGTTATTCACACACTCAGGCTATGGCCTGAGTGCGTGGTTTTGCCAACAAGCATTCACTGTCTCTGGTTTGAGTTCATTGAATGATTCACTGATGTTGGTAATGCAGTTCACAATGCTGTACTCCGTTCAGCACTTACTAACATCAAGGTCAGGGTCTGCGTCCGTGGCACTACGGATATGACCAAAAGAGTATCGGGTGTAATATGCCATGAAGGTGCGTATTACACCCTGGTCGAGAGGCTGAATAAGAGCAGTGGTGTTATGGTGTTAGGGGGTAGGAACACCACCTCAACACCTGGATGGCTAAACTGCAAACTTCTTGGTGGCCTGGTGTATTGTCTATCAATAATAACACCTTGAATTCCAACTTCTTGGAAGCAAGGTATTTTTCCATTTCTGGGACAAAGCATTTATGGATTGGTTCAATCCAGGAATGCTTGCACAGTTCCCCATGCCTTTTTGTTGGACTGCCAAAAAACTGGCAAAAGGTTCTTGTTTTTTCCCTTTAAAACCCTAGGGTTTGCTGAGTGGTAAAGCAAGCCAGGTTTGATCATGTGGCCAGCTGCACTGCCACAGAAGATGAGCGTCACTGTTCTTGGCTGCCTTGAACCCAGAAGCACACCTCTCCTGCTTGTTTATATACGTTCTACCAGGCATTTTCTTCCAATATAAACTGGATTCATCAGCATTGAACACTTGCTCTGTTCTATAGCCTCTCTCTTCTATTATTTTCTTTAACTTGGCGGGAAATGCATCTGCAGCTGTGTGTTCAGCTGTTGCGGCCTCTCCAATCAGTTTCACATTATGGAAAGAGAATCTTTTCTTAAAATTCTCGAACCAACCTTTACTGTTACTAAAAGTTGGTTTAGTAACTGCACTAGCCCCTTCACCACCTGTTGACTCATAAAAATGAACATAAAGACTTTTAGCTTTCTCATGATCGGAACATTTTTGTGGTGCTGGTCCTCAACCCAAATATTCGGTGCTTTCTCTGTTTTCACTTTGTTTTTGTAACGAACAACCTGCTCCACTTTAGCACTTGCAGGAGCACTCGCTTAAACTGTATCACGAATTGCTTGTTCATTTTTCTTGATATACCTCACTGTGGATTCGTTCACACCAAACAGCCTACCAACCGCGGCAGCACTCACCCTCTCCTTTAACTTGCCTAATAATTTGAGTTTCTTTGTCAGGGTCATCACTGACTTTTGTCTTTTACGTTTTACTCCACTAGCATCACTAGCACTGACACTAGGCAGTCTTTTAGGGGCCATTTTCACAAAGAAACGCAAAAGTTTTGAGAGTACAACACGATATGTTGGGGTCACAGCTACTGGGTGAGTGCGAACAGAGGGAGATGAGACACCGCAGGCACGTGGGGTGACTCGTTGCACTGCAAGAAAAGGCTCACAAGCTAGCCACCAGAGCCGCCAGCTGCTTACCGCAAATCGCAAACCCACGAATGGCAAGGGTCTAGTGTATATAAAGATGAGAGAATTTATTGCAATTTTGCTTATTTGGTTCTCATGCAATTATGCTTGAAGCTGCTTGTGCTTAGGTTATGTGAGGCATTAATCACATTTAGATCATTTTATATAAGAGGAATGAGTATTTCAGTATTTCACCTTGTATGTTTTTATGGAGAACTTTATTTGCTTCTGTTGTAATGTATTGACTTACTGAATTCAGCATTCCAAGGATATAAATTTTTGACAGATGAATTGGGAAAGAAAAAGCCTGCTGTAGGTCTTTTTGAAGATGGGTACTACATTCACCCTGACGAGACTTCTACTGTTCTTCAAGAAGCAAATGTTCTCAAGTAAGTCACTTTACTTATTGAGATTAAGGTTGGGTGTAGATGGCGAACATATTTTTATAATGCATAGCTTTGCCCTAATAATTATGTGAAATAGGGGTATTATATGGATATGCAAACACTTTTTATGAGTAATGTACCGTACAGAACTGTACAAGACCTCATTTTTAATTCATGCTAGGTGAAAAAAATTAGACATGTCTTTATTCGCATGAAAAGCCAAGCTACTGTGACAACTAAGTTTCAGAGAGTCAGGCATGAGACACAGAAAAACTCCTGTGTAACTTTTTTCATATCTAAATTTTTTTTAATTATCATAAGGAAGATCGTAACCCAAACAACTGTAAACTGACAACTGTATTGTATAGTTTTAGAACATTGATCAGAATATGATGAAATAGTGTACAGTACTGTACTTTCTTTTCTTACAAAAATAAACAAATTCATGTTTGATAAAATCCACCAAGAAGTAATGCATTAAGAAGTTGAGGTGATGTTTAATCTGGCCACTCCCAAGGGTATTCCCACACTGACACACAGTGGCCAGGCAGGTCTATTCTCAGTTTAATACTCCAGTTAATTACCACATAAAATGAAGAGGCTAAACTTTCACCTATTCTTACCAAAGTACAGTAATTCAATGAGAAAGTAAATAAGTACCATACAGGTATTAGTGAAATTGATGAACAGGCTTGGTATCAAGCAGCCACCTAATTGCTGCACTCAGTGGCAGATCTGGAAAAATATTTTTAAAATTGACCAATTTCAGGGATATTTTAAGGCCATATTATTGGGGGCACGTTCCCGTGCACCTCCCCCTCCGCCAGTGGCTGCACCCATTGTGGGAAATTTATGAAATAGACATAGTCATAATAACAATAATTAACGGTTTATTGAAAGAGCATAGCAGCCAGAAGGGGTACGGTATTTCCATATCTGTCAAGGCAGTCATATCAGAGGAGGGGCCAACTTCTCCACTTGTGGCTTTGTACAAATTCAACCAAACCTAACTCTGCAATTTGGCTGATTTTCATCATTCACCAGACCTTAAACAACTTGTTGGCCTTTTTGAAACATGAAAAATGTACCAATACGTAATATTTTTCCATTACAGTATAAATATATTAAGGGCACAATTTTTATTATATTAATACAGTACAGTGTTATTGACAAATGTATTACAGTACATATGTACTTAGGCTTTCTGCATGTCAATGGCACCCAGCAATATAGTGGAAGTGGACCTGTAAGCCTGAAAAAAATGCAAATCTCCGTGACATGTACTGTATGCCGGTTAGATGAAACTTTAAAGTAAGACTGTGCAGCATGAACATTCTAAAAGTAGAAACATTGCCATTCTTTTTTGTATGTACAATTTTTCAATTTTAGATTAGGGTTTTGCAAAGCTAGGCAGTTTTAAAATCATGGATGAATTTCAGAATTGTTTTACATATTTGAATGTTTGTGAGATCTTAAATGTTGAAACAGTGTTATATTGAAATACCATATAACATTTGACTTCCTCACAGGTCCCAAGACTGTTAAAAAACATAGAAATCATTAGTACTGTAGTGCTGCACGGTTCCTGCATACAGTTTATTATTCTTTTATTCTTACATTTACTTCTTTGGGTTATACTTTGGAGTTTAGTATTGCTGGAATTAAGACTCCATTTGGTCCTTTGTTTCAGTCTCAGATTTCTTGAATTAAATTTACTTAAACAGAGTCAACTTGCTCACTGTTGGACTGATTTCATTTATATTTGGCACATGGGTGGGTTACTGTATTACCTGGATGCATGTGAAACAATGTTTTTGGGTGGATTAAAACTGGCAATACAGTATATCAGCTCAGCTGAGTGGGATGACTGTGGCCTTCAGTAATTGATTTTTATCATGTCTTTTTTATCTTTTCCAGACTTAAATCATTGCCAGGCAAAGGAAGTGCAGGAGCAGATGGGAAAAAAAAGAAAAAGGGTAAGAAAGGGATATCTGAAGAAGTTCCAGACAATATTGGAGATAAAAAAGAGAAAAAAAGTAAGAGAGAAAAGAGTGAGGAAGAAATACAGGTACAAGATACTGTTAAGGAAGAGAAAAAAGGGAAGCGAAGTAGACCATCTGAAGAACTTATTCCAGTAGATGACAATGAGGATGACAGCAGAAAAGTTCGCAAACGAAAGAGAGGTAAGACCTGGGAGGAAACAAATGAGCAGGAAATGGACATAGATGAGTTGAAGGAACAAAGGAAACACAAGAAGAGTAAGATCACTGAAGAGAGACTCGAATCTCAGGTTGATGTGCAAATTAAAGAAAGAGGGAGATGGAAGAAAGAAAAACGTGAGAAAATGGCAGAACCACAAGAGAATGTTGAGATAACAAAGTTGAAAAAGAAATGGAGAAAGGAGAAAAACATTGAGGTTGAAGATGAAGTGGAGGAGGTTCCCATCAGAGAAAAAAAGAAACGGAAAAAAGAAAAATCTACTGAACCAAATAGTGAGGAGGATGTGGTGAGGGACAATAAGAAAAAGAAAACTAGATTACCTGAGCAGTCAGTAACTTCAGAAATAAAAGCGGACAAAAAGAAAATACCTAGGAGTTCTAAAGAAGAAGATCGAGAAGCACCAAGAGCCCGTGAAGCAGAGAAGAAGAAGAACAGGTGGCAGGAAGAGAAAAGTTCACAGGAGAAAGTAGTTTCCACCAGCACTGTGATCAACCTGGAGAGTGAGGAAACATCTGATGAGGATAATTCATCTGATGCCAGTGGTAACTTTGGTAAGCAAGGTAGATTTAGTTCTAAATCATCAGATCATGATGATGGTCATTATGCTGCTGATTCAGTGACAGATCCATTCATTGCTCATGATTTTGTGAGTGTTAATGAACCAGGGATCAAGAAAAAACGAAAGAGAAAGCATAAGAAAGGACATCGTGCTCAAAAAGATGTTGCTGATCAAGGTACTTCTACAATTGGGTATATTTCCTCTCAGGACACATCAAAAACATCAGTGTATAATACTAATTCTGATTCAGTTCCTACCTTACCTTATCCAAGACCAAGGAATAAAAGACCTCTTCTCAACTCCACTTTTACTCGGAAACACATACATTTCACTAGTGATGATGAAAAAGAAGTGTCTTCTGCTGTTAAGGTGGATTTGAAAGAGCCTGCTCATGAAATTGAAATAGTGGAAACCACCACTAGAGGGTCAAGAAAGAATGATGTAAGAGCAAGCCTTGCAGGGCTGAGTCCTAAGCACATGAATATGGATGGATTTCAAAATATGTCCCCAAGTTTAAAAAAAAATATTCAAAACCCTGAAGAGCCATCTACAGGTACTTTATATAAGACAGGTAAAGGTTCTAGGTATCACAGCACACCATTAAAGAAAAAGGCTCCTGTAGTTGTTGAGGTGGAAGGAGAAGGTACAGCTTCATTTGCCCCATCTGATTATTCCTCCATGTACAATATATCTGGAAGAAATCCACTCAAAAAGAACAAAAGTGGCAATATTGATGAACTGGCTACTCTTCGTAGAATATGTGAGAATAAGACTATCACTGTCTGTAAAGTTGATTCAAGAAAGGAGCAAACTCCTCCTAAACCTAGAGATGCCCCTGTAACCAATACCCCATCCCCGTATTTAAGACCACCACCTCCATTATTTGCAAGACCCAAGCAAGTAAGTGAAGAAAGTAAACAAACTTTCCATAACATTATGACAATTAAAAGCAGAACAGTACCCCTAGTTTTCTCAAATACAAGAACGATGCAGCCAGATTCAAAAACAGAATTCTTGAGAGAGGAACAGATTCTTAATCATCCCAGAGATATAAAGAAGAGGGCACTCTTTAATAATTCATTTTCTACTGGAAAAAGTTGTGCAGTTAGTCAAGAGAGACTCAACAGTGACCCTCATAATGTCTCTCCTAGTAAAAGTGATAGTGGTATCAGCACTCAAAGCTACAGTCTTCAAATGGGAGAAAAAAAGGAATTTGATCACACTTTTCATAGCGATATTTCAGAAAATAGAAATACCATTGACCTAGAATCATTACCAAGCACTTCAAAGTGGGTCACTGTTCATGATGACTTGCCAAAGCAAGCCATTGGGGTGGTTTCCCAAAATAGGAGAAAAGACAAGCAAAGGCCTTTTCAGTCTATAGGTGCTGTTCTTTCAGGCATGAGAAATAAAGTTGACAATGGTATTGAGACAGGAGAATTACAGGTAATCAGCAATGATGAGGCAGATGCTGGGCCTCAAAAAGAGACAAATAATGAAATTGGTAAAGGTAAGGAGTCACATATAGATAGAATACCAAAATCACTGGACCTTTCTCACTTGGCTGCAATAAACATTGGTACTAGAAAAAGTGAATTGTCTAGCCAAGTTAAGGAGAAAGCATTTATGGCCATCCCAACAAAGACTGAAAATGAGATTGTAGACTTGGAAAGTGATGAAGAGTATGGAGACATACATCCATCTAGTAAATTAACACCAGGGATAGCTACTAATGCTAAGGCTTTGGAACACCTTGGAAAAACTGGAGATATTGTAGCGGAGATTGTATCAGAAAGTAAAAAGACACCCCGTTTAGAGACTAAGATTATAGAAGGTAAGGAAAAGTCGGCTATCTTTGCTGCTAGGATTATAGCTGGGGTTATAGAAGCTAAAAAGAAAATTGGTTCTGTTGCAGAGATTATAGAAGACAGCATAAAGACAAGTAAATGTTCAGCAGAAATTGTTGAAGACAGTGGAAAATCAAATAATTTTACTGCTGATTTCATAGATGATGAAGATGATGATGTTATTGGTGATGATGACGTTATTGGAGATGATGACGTTATTGGAGATGATGATGATGTTATTGGAGATGATGATGACGTTATTGGAGACGATGAAGACGTTATTGGAGATGATGAAGAGGTGGCTATCTATGATGCTGAGATCATAGAAGACAAAGAAGAGATGGATGAAATTGATTGCAAGATTCAAGAAGACATAAAGAATACTGACACACCCATTACTACTGCTACCACACTTGAGTCGGAAAGTGACCGGAATGCTGTGGAAATTGCAATCACTGAGAGATTAAAGGAGGACATGCTGAAAGAAGTTAAACAAAAGCCCGGAAAGGTAAGGGAAGATGAAGGAAACTCATCTCAAACGCCACCCCCAGAAGTGGTCAGCGTGAGCCCTTCAACACCTCCTCCAAACAGTTCGGGTTCCACACACGTCCACCACACACTTATTCATCATACCTCGGTCACCAACATTGTTCCACCTACAGTTCATCCTGCTCAGCTTAGGTCTCCTCTCATTCCTGCTTCCCCCACAAATGTTGGTGCACTTGGTCATCCTTCCCCCATCCATACTGTCCAAATGTCTCTTCCACCCCAGTATACCCTTAATCACTTCATGAATCAGTCGTTGTACAATACCTTATCCCCTCAGTATTTCATGACCAATCCTGCAAGTTTTCCTACTCCTACATCCTCTCAACAAACTCATTTCTATAACATGAACTCTCCTGGTCATCTTAATGTTTCACAACTATATGGCGCTCCATTACACACTACTGGGCTACGCCGCCCCATCCAACAACCAAATTCTCTGCTAGGCTTGCCCTTATCTCCTCCAAGACAATTTTCACCTCTTCAGCGATCTCCATTTATACCAATGGTATCTGCTAATCCCTTACTCCACCTCTTTCCAAGTTTATAAATTTCTCCTATACCTGTATCTTTATATCTTGTGCATATCACCCTATTTCATTTAAGAAAATTTTGTCATCTTACTTTAGTTGTAAGTACTGTATTCACCCTTTGTTGTTTCCTTGGCTCACTTGTTTATCAAAAGCAGGTATTTCTCTGCAACTTTTTTTTTAAGTAAATCATTGTCTTACTCTAAATAATTACCTTTGATATCATTATTGCATTTAGGTAAAGCACACATGCACCACCTTGGTTTGATTAGGTCCATGATTTTCTGTCTCAATGAAGAGTATATAGATCATTCATGAAGCCACTTTTGAGTACATATTCCATTAGATATGAGAGTTTTTCTGATTCTTCTATCCAGCATTTCCAAAAGTAAGCAATCCCCTTTGTTGTTCCTATACAGTACAGAATTTTTTTTTTGTATCAAGTGCTTATAATTTAATTTCTATATTGTGATAGTCTGTGGAATAAGTTTAACTTAATTATCATATTTTTATGGTGTTACTTAATTCATTTATCGTACTTTCATTTTAAGCCATACAGTCTACATTAGTGTACGTAATTCTTTTATTATCATTATCACTACACTACCTTACGTACACACAAGATGGTGAATCTCCTTGTTGCATTGTAGTACAGTATTTATTTGCATGTTGGTTGTAGTGTACCTCAATTTTTATACAGCTATAGCATTTTTCTTTATAAACTTTCAGAATCTAAAAATTTCATATTAACCCCTAGGCTACGGGTCACATCACATGACGTTTTGATCTTTTGCGGGCCTATTTGAATAAAATGGGCAGGCCTAGGTAGATTATGCTGCCAAGTAGGTACTGTATTTATCTTTCACTCACTCACACATGAGAGCCTCCCTGTCTCTTCTCAGTAGCTTCTCAGCTTTTGTGATGTAGGCATCTCACCCTTGGTCTTGACTCACTTCACCATGTGTTTCTACCCCCAACCCCCAAGCACAAGTCTAGTATTGTGATTTATTACTGGAGCAGTAATAATGATTGTTAATAATGTAAATAATAATAACAACACAGTAAAACAAGTGTACTGTACCTCATACTGCCTACAAATTAGTGTTTACTATACACAGTATAAACATCTTAAGAATGTGGATTCTCATTTAGGAAACTGACAATGGGTTAGATCTATGTGCTGTGTGTTCTTGTTGGTCATCTTTATCTGCAGATTTTATTGCAAATGTCTGGGAATGAATTATCTTTTATTTATTTGTGATATTGGTGATGATGTTTTAAGGTAAGATCGATGATGTACAGTTGCCCACAGGTATAGTGTTCCACCCCTCACGTTACCAATTCATTCATAAAATAATTCTGTTGTTGCCACATGTTTGGAAAGGGCACCGAGGGATGGAACATAGTACCTGTTGGCAACTGTACAGTACCTTCTTGTTTGGTTTTACTCTTATTTGAACAAAAAACTAGAATGTATTGGTTTTGTATACCATCTGTTGTTGCTTCCTCTCTTGTTTTATGGATATGGTAATTACCCTATTTCCAACCATATTATATGCACAACAAATACAACAGGGAATGTTTAGGAAGAAATCATTGGAGTTTCTCAAGGATGTAAGGGATATACAGTGAACCCTCGTTTAACGAACACCTCGGTTAACGTAATTTCGATTAACGAACTGCCTTCCATAAGGATCTTCAATTCGGTTAACGAAAAAAAATTCGGTTAACGAAGTTCTTACGAACCGAGCTCAACATGTTTTCGCTTGCACTGACCGGGCAACCAGCTTTAGTATCAGTCCGCCAATACATTAATCGGTTCTAGGGCTTAAATTCCTTACTATTTTAGTCAATATCAAGAAGTTCATACTATTCAATAATTTTAAAAGTTTAATATTCAATTTTTTAGTCATTTTAACAATTATTGAACATAATTGAAGGTAAAGTGACTAGTTTAATGCACGGCATCCAGCCTCTTAACACAGCAAACAGGAGTTAGTCTCTCTCTGTTTCCACTGGAGGTAACATCTTGCTCGAGACGCTCTTCAACTAAACGCTTTTTTTCTGTGTTTCCAAGCAAATTATTGGTCATTTTGAAATATATTTTACATATTGACAATATATAATGCAGTGCAGTGTTGATTTAAAGAAAATAATCTTGAATTACACCAAGAGAGCTAAAATTTTATGGGTGAAATGGCGCCATGGGGTGACTTCTTCCACCCCAATGCCTTCTCTTCTTCCTTCTCCTCCACCCCCATTCTAAATCCCATCATCATCCAGGAGCCTTCTACATACACACCTCAAAGTAAGTGAACTTTTCTACCATTTTTGTTGAATTTAGGAAATTTTCGGTGAGCTGGAACCAATTACCCCAAAACCCATTGAAACATTGGTTTCGGTTAACGAACTTTTCGGTTAACGAACGACCTTCTGGAACGGATTGAGTTCGTTAACGGAGGGGTCACTGTACTTTATTTCAGAAAAAGTTTTCATTAATCAAAATTGTCTAAAATGAACAAAAGGAGACATACTCTCCCCTGAGCATACCTAATGTTCTCTCAGTATTATTCCACACGTATTTTATTAAAAAAATAACGTGTACCTGTATACTGTATAGGAACCAAGAATACTGTACTTGCATTAACATAAACTGCATTACTGCTTATCTCTAGTTTCAAATGAAAAGAAGGAACTAGGACTGGAGGCTCAATAAATAAATAAATAAATAAATAAATACAGGTATCCCTCGAGATATGAACGTTCGTAATACATAAGTTCGCTCATTTGAATTTTCTAAATTTACACCACAATTTCGAGAAATGAAAGCTTCCCTTGAATATGAGTCTGGGCAAAAATTCAAATTGGCTGGGGCAGCCACATCCCCCTCTTACCAGGCTGAGGTAGGAGTTGTTATGGTTATTTCTCAAATTGTAATTTTGGGTATATAAACTTAATTTACTTTCATTCTTTTTTTTTCCATTGTTACCTGCACACACAATCCTACATACAGCATGTACAAAAAAAAATATCATAAGGTCAAAAATATAAAGGGAATAAACATTTCTTGTGTGCGTGGGACTTATCACAGAGGGGGTAGACAGGTTTTTTTTTTTTTAATACATGCACACAATCGTTCATATAAAATGGTGCCACTGCCTCTTTATGATGACTGCTTGTCCCATTGATTGTTCAGCACCTCTTGGTGGTGTGCCCCAGTCTTGGAAATCTTTCTCACTACTTCTCCCAGTCCTGGGGGGGGATAGGTTCTACGGTCTCTCTTTGGTGATGGGCGTGGGTGGTGTAGCCTGCTCCTTTGTAGAGGAAGCCGGCATTCTACACAAGCTTAGTGTTTTATCTATTGTTTAAATATTTGTTAAGAAAGTTCTGTTATTTATTACTTTTGGTTTTACCTTGCATTATTTGAGTTTAGTCTTTTGGCCTTTATTTTAATTCAGTTGCATATGACCTAAACTGTTGCATCATCAGGGATGTAATTACCACAATCAATCAATTTATACAGAATGTGCCAAAAAAAATATATATATTATAATGAGGGAATAAAAATTTCATACGTCGTGGGAGGGGAAGGGGGAGCAGGAGGTGAGTGCTGTGTCGGTCTCTCAGCCTCCCACCAAGCAGTGAGCTGCATTATTGTTATTTTTCAACTTGTATTTTTGGGAAGATACACTGCACTTTTTTTTTCCTGTTATGTGCACACACAATTGTTCATGCAGAATGTGCAAAAAAAGAAAAAAAGAAGATAATCATAAGGTCAAAAACATAGAGACCAAACATTTCTTAGATCACTAGAGTAAGTGTGCAGATTGTAGGAGAGGCAGGCAGAGTGGTGTGGTGAGGGAGGTGGGGGCTGGGATCTCATCCTTCCCCTACTTAGCCAAGATGTGAGTTTCATTATTGTTATTTTTCAACTTGTGTTTTTGGGTTGATATATAGGTACATAACTTGTTTGTTTTTTCATTTACTGTTACATGCACACACAATCTTCAAACAGAATGTGGGAAAAAATTATGATGTAGTAAAAACACTTAAAGGGATTAAACATTTATTACATATCGGAGCTATCACAAGAGAGTGAGGGAGAGAGGACGCAGCATTCCTTCGCGGCTGTGCTGTCTCATGCTAGTGACAAGATTGCCAAATGGCAACACAGTAATTTTTTTTTTTTATTATTATTATTTTAATTTCTCACATTACTGCTAAGCCTGGCTATCACTGGGGACAGGTAGACCCTCCCACGCATCCTGCATGGGTAGCACGTGTTACGCCCTCCCTTAAGGTAATGTACCAAAGTTAAAGAGTCTCTTATTAATATTTTTAATATTTTTGTTTGTAAATTAGTTATGTACTATTTATTATTAGTTGGGTAGGTTTTGTTTTTGTTTGTGAACCGATTTCATGTTTTTGGTGT